AATAATAAAATATTTTTTTATAGTCAGCACAAAGTTTTTTACATTCCATTTTAAAAATCATACTCATATTTAATTTGTTTTGAAGAAATTAATTTATTTTACACTGTGTGAAGTTCCTTTGTAAGTAGTAAAAAGTAATGCTCTTATATTATCCACATAAAATAATAAATATATTATTTTGGAATATATATTACAACATTATTAAAGAAAGGAAATTGCTGTGAAAAATTTACCTTTTAGAGTATTCCTATTAGTGTTTTAGTTTTATTCATCTAAGAGCTTTACATTATTTCTTTTTAAAGCTTTAGAGAAAAAAATTGTTTAAAAAGTGTTGCTTGTAAAAATTCATCCTTTTCAGCTTGGACAACCGGGGAAGGTGACTGTCACGGTCAAACAAAACTCAGTGGTCATCATCACTGTCCCACAAACCAACTCGGGGTCATCGAGGGCATTGTCCCGTTCTGACACAAGTGCTATACACATAGCCTTGAACACACAAAACAAAGGCTCTTCTGGCTATTCGTCTGGTAAATCTTTTAGACAAATACATAATATTTATTGGTAAGCAAGGGTCTGCGAGGAAGAGTCGATAAAGCTCATGGTTGCTAAACAGAAAAGTCTCGAGTTATAGAACCCTCAGGCAGATGAGGCTCGTTAGCTGGGGACAGACACTCTTCTAGGAGAGACAACTCCAAAATCAAACAACTGCTACCTTGTAGTTTGTTCTTGGTTGGAGGCAAATCCAAAAAGAAAAGCAGGCTGAAATCGGAGACAATGGCCTCAATGGCGCATAACCAGTTGACACGTATACTTAATTGTGTTGGATGGGATCCCTTCCAACACTAAAATTAAGAACAAAGAAGAAGAAGAAGATTGGTAAGCAACATGCTTACCAATAAGTATTATGTATTTATTTTAGCTCAACAAGAAGTACACATTTGTATTTATTATTTTGGGCATGGATGTGTATTAAGACATTGATACTTAAACCATATTGCCTGTGTGCTAAAAGTACTGAAACCCAACATGTGGGTTAATTAAAGTGACAAAAGTATTTTGGGAAGCTTGTTGAAATTTTACAAGCGACTTACCTACTTTTCATTTTAATATTGACAAGCTCATCGGAGTGTGTCTGTTTACACAGTGATGTATGAATGTGTGAAAAGGGTATTTGACTATTTAGACTGAGATTTATGTTCATGTAGATCTTTAAAGACTACAAATATAGTCATCATATAAAATGTTCGATCAAATCAAACAAGATTCAAATAAACAAAGTTTGACAATTTTATAAAGCTATTTGTTTATTTGAGTAAAGTATTCTTAAAATGTAATAAGTAGCCTATGTAATCTCTCTATAAAGATTATAGCCCTGACTTTTCCAGTATTTTCATATTTCTTGTTTTTCTCTCCAGGGTCTATGGCAGGTATTGGCATCGGCATGCTTGTGCTGGGAGTTGTGTTAGGTTTTCTGGGTATCTTCCTCTTCAAGAAGTTCAGGCGTGTTGGCGTTGACTCTGTGATGAGCATGCAGCAGCTGGAAAATGAGGCAGAGTCCTAGAACATTCTTTAGGGGATTATATAATAAGAGACATTGCATAGTACTTAGACTATGTAGGCCTACTGCGCTAAGATTTTACTTTGTGTGATTTTTATGTGCCATAATGCAAGTTTTAAAATTAAAACAAACTTCTGTTTAAACTACAATTACAAGTATCTTGTCTAAAAAAAAAGGTTTTTCATTTTATAAAATGTATCTTTGCTTTAGTTTCAAAAGGGAATAAAGAGCCTTTTTTTTAATATACTCACACAGCTTGACAATATTAACTCATAACTAAAGTATATTGTTTTATACTGATAATGTTGTAACAAGCATACTATGCATCTGTTTAAAAAGTTGTGTTGTTGTATTTATACATTTTTAAACTTACTGCTAATTTATCTAAACATCTTTTAATATAAATAAATTGTAAAATCATCAATAATTTTTATTATTGGTTAATGTTGGTTGTCTGACTACTGGTTAGATGTGTTTGTCAAATAAATTTTATGGGTTTATGAAATTAAATTATATGTTATAAAACTGATCCTTGTTAATTTGTTTTAATCTAATGCTTTAGGATGATCATAATACTGTTGTTGTAACGTTTTTAATTGTTTGAAATATATATTTAGGGGGTTCCCAGCCCACTAATGGCTAATATTGTAAAAAAGCAATTACTTTTGAAACAAATAAAAATTGTATTAAGAGGGTGGGAAGGCTGAATTGTGACATTATTTATGAATAATCCATATATGAAATTCAAATTTTATTAAGATGAAAGTATTATGAAAATGAAGTAGAATTTTGTAAACCACATAAGGGCTAGACCACAGTGTATTTTATTAAAAACAACATGCAATAGGGCTGGTAAGTAGGTCACCAACCAGTTCTATGGCTCATGCAGGTTTTATTGAGCCGTAGAACAGGTTGGTGACCTACTTACCAGCCCTATTGCAAGTCAATGCAAGATGCCTTTTCTTCTATAATAAAAGTTGTTTTAAATGTTCTTATTTGGACTTTTTTCTAAAGCTGTTAAAATGTGATTTACATACACAATAGTTAAGAATAGTCAAGACAACCTTGATAAACGAAAAAGGTAGGTTGATGTGCCAATGTGGTTCAATGACAGTAGAAGTAGATTTTACATGTTTCTTTAACCTCTGTGCTACACGTGAAGGGATAGTGTGGTCAGCACTTTATTGCCACACCACAGAGTTTCTTCAAGGCATTTCTTAATAGTGGGGGGGGGGGGGGGGCGAAGAAAGTCTACTGCCTGCCAAACAAAATGGAATTTATATAGAAAACATATGTTTTTACCAATATCCCACACCCCCCAGTGTTTCTTCCAGAGTTTTTTCTCCGGGGGAGGGGGGGCACTTGAAATTTTCGGGTGGGGCGGTAGACTTCCTTCGGTAGGGGGGGGGTGACACTGTTAAAAGTATATATGTTCTATATAATTTTCATTTCATTCGGGGGTGGGGGTCAGTAGACTTTCTGCCACCCCCCCCACCCCTAAAAATTTCAAGTGCTTCCCCCCCCCCCCCCAAGAAAAAAGTGCAAGAAAATAGACACTGATTACCCAGCTATTACTTTCCTTAACTTACTAAATTGAGTCACATACTCATCAGTGGAAATCAGGGATGCCCTCCTAATTCATGATGTAGCTGCCCAATTTATGATAAACACATTATATGAAAATCGTGATATTACTCAATTCACACTATGGTATAGACCTGCCTAACTCAAGCTACGTTCTGACGAGGACCAGAGTTTCTTCTAGACATCTCTTCCCCCTCCCCCCCCCCCCCCCGAAGAAAGTCTACCCCCAACCCCCCCCCCCCCCCCCCCCCCAATGAAATGGAATTTATACAGAGAATATATACTTTTAACATTGTCCGCCCCGAAACGTTTGGTTGGTTCGATTTACAAGTTGTTGTACCGTGAACATTGCGCCATGCAACTCCCCCTTACCCCCCCCCCCCCCAATACTTATTCAATTTATTCAAAAAACGCCCTTAAAACGGTAACAATTGTAGGCACGAAGGCCTTTTTTCACATTGGCCGTTTTATACTAGTATACATACTGAGATACTCCCCTTACACAGTTACACTTCACACCCCACATCATATATAAAAAAAAAATTTAATTATTGTGGACTTCTTGTTATGAATTGAGTCAGAGATGTCTGTCACTTAAGCTGGTTGTTGTTTTTTTTTTTTTTTTTTTTTATTAAATGTTTTGTTATTACATATTTTTTTAAATGTACGTTTTTTTAATTACCGAAACAATATAAAATGTTAGCCACTGTTCCTACCTTATTTGATTTCAGAACTATAAATAATCACTTCCGCCTCAATTTAATACATTAGATCATCATTTCCACAACAATCTTCCAACTTGGAGTTTCCAGTGAGTCAGTGAGTAAACTTAATTTGTTATTATTTTTAAAGATTGTAAAGAGATAACAGCAACTTTTCTTCTTGTAAAACTTAAAGTAAACAAAACTTTGTATTGTTGTAAAAATGAATGAAAACAATCCAGACGCAACAACTTGACTGAGTTGTTGACGGAAACTGAAGCACACTTTTTTACAGAACACCATTCTTAAATCTTATAACTTGCTTTGTTTACAGTTTACAGTTTGTTTTTAAGTGTAGGCCTATACATTTGATTTAGATAATTAGTTCAAGAGAATAGTTTTTAAGGTAGTCCCATGTCACTTTATCTGACTGATAGTGATAGAATGATGGATTTAATTTTAATTTAGAGTCAGGTTCTATTCCCAGTCGACTGTGAATAGCTTTATAATAATAATTATATTAATACGGCGTAAATAATTAATTAGGGCTATTCACAGTCGTAACTGTTTTTGATAGATTTAATGTAAAAAAAAAATTCCTGTATTAGCATGAAGATAGTGGACATGTGGGTGGCAATCGTGCCTGAAGGTGCAGGTTCAAACCCATCATTCATCATGTGACATATCGCTTTGACAATTAATGTATGCTCCTTACTATCAAAATATTGGTAATCTATCATTTTAGGTACGTAAAAATCGCCCGCGACTAGTAATGTACGAAAAAGTTACCTCATTGTCAAGGCTTTAACCCCTTTACCGTGAAAAAAAAAAAATTTTTGGAAACCGTGTAATTGTTTTTTTTTTTCATTATTTGATTTGTTATGTTGTCCTGACAAAATAAAACATTTTGACCTATTTTTATCATCTGCTGTTGAATTGGCTGTTAGATTAGCCTCCCTCTACATTGTTGTTGATTTCCAATGCTATTTTCGTATCAAGACGAGTTAACTCGGGACGCACGGCACACAGATGTCTTTTTTATCTGCAGACGAGTTAACTCGTGATGTACGGTTAAGCCCAAGATTTTATATGACGAGTTAACTCGTGACACACAGTAAAGGGGTTAATAGAAGTATATTATGATATATTTGTGTCAAATATTATAGATAAATGAATAATAAACCTAAATCAATGGCTAAGTATATCAATATAGGCAAGAAATTAACTTTAAACAGCAGTGTTTGCGAGCAGGATTTGCTATATAAAAAGCGGCCATCTATAAGTTAGAGTAGCTTCCCCTGAATCTTGCGCTATAAGTTAACAATATAAAAAAAATAAACAAGATGGCTGCTATAGTAAATGGTTGCATCTGTTTGAAACATCGCTAGTCTTCATTTATTACTGAAAAGTTTTAACTCAGTTGTTTAAAAACATATACATAAATGAAACAAGGAAATATTTTTGTATTTTTCAATACATAAATCCTCCTCAAAATGTGAAATAATTATTAAAATTTAAGGAGTCATCTGTTTTTCACATTACTAGTCGCGGGCGATTTTACGTACCTAAAACGATAGATTACCAAAATATCTTATCCCAGTTATTCATGGAAGGGTTACTTTTGATAATTTTTTTTCAGACATAATTGCTTGCATATATACACACAAAAAGAAACTGTCCCTTAGAGATTTTTGTTAAGAGAAAAAACAACTTTGGAAAAGTGTGATGGAAACTGTGAATGATAGCTGATTAAAAAGTACCTGCTATTTCACCTGATATTTAGGCCTATTATATGCGAAATTTAAATGGTAATTGATAACTGAATAGCAATATGAACAACCAACTAAACTGATGCATAATTAATATTATTTATTTAATCTTTACTAGGCTTATATCTATTAGTCTAGTATACTTTTAATTAGAGTGCATAATTAATCCTCTATGACCTACATAGCCTGTAGCAGATAAAAATATAACACAATAAAAATAGCACTGCTCTCTTAATCTATACCTCACACCCTAGTCACTATAAATGCTTTTATTAGTGTAAGATATTATTCCGTCGTATTTAGCAAGAAATGACAGCTGACTGGGAATAGCCGTATTGGGGCTATTCACCTTAGATAGGAATAGCCCCAATACAGCTATTCCCAACTGGCTGGGAATAGCCTTGGCCATCTGGAAAAGCTTGAGTTTTGCATTTTATTTTATTATTTTATTGTAATTGTTGAGTTTAGGGCCTAGCCAATGTAATATACACCTAAGTATAAATTAGATCTATTAACCTACAGACGATTCTAGCAGGAAAAAGATGAGCAAAATGCTACAATGACTTGGTTTTTCTTTGTCGTCCAAATGTTCTTCTCCTACTGAAGAGCTAAAACACTTATAATCATTAACAATGAAAAATTATAGGCGTAATTAGTAAGTATTTAACATGCAACTAAAATCAATCTATTCAACACTGGTTTTTTTTTTTAAATAGCTAAAATTGATAAGCAACGGTAAAAAGCACTTCCAACACTGTGTGAGTATAAACAACAAAATCTAAAGGTGACATACCAAACTGTCTAGACCAGGGGTTCTCAACCCTGTGCCCGCGGGCGCCATGGCGCCCGCTAAATGATGTGTATGTGCCCGCCTCTCACTATTCGACAGAGACAGAATTTTTTTCAAAAACATTTTTTTAAGATATGATTTATTTTTATTCATTTGTTACAGTTTTAATTTTTTTTTTGACTGCCTAGGTTTATTAAATATGTTCGATACTTGTCCCAACTTGTCTAGCGGCGAGCCAGACTGCACTAATTACATTTTGTAAATACATTTCGCTGTGTGTATGCATTTTGAAAAAAATGCCAAATAATTTTATTATTTTGAAACAGATTTGTTTATTATTTATTAATGCATTATGACTATAATATAATAAGAAAATAAATTATGGGAAAATGTTAAATGACAAGTTATGGAAGGAGTTTGTCGATTTAAAATTGGTGGTGCCCGCCACCCTACTGATATTTTAGAATGTGCTCTAGACAATAGTCACATTTAAATCAATAAGCTTTGTTAAAAAGTTGTATTACGTTACTGGTAGTAAACTATGAACTTATTTAATTCAATTAGGTGTATCTATAGATTCTCACTAAATTCCAAATTAAATTATTAGGCTATTTCCTACTTAAACTAGTTTTAACCTATCCATTGCAAAGCATATCCATTAGGTCAGACCAAATATAAGGCTGATTTAGACTGAATAAAAATCATTCTCTCTATCAAGTTTCAAAGTGTTTTTTATATTTAGCTCTAAATTATTTATCAACATATTTTAAAAACCATGTCATTGTTAAATATTCATATTTAAAAAGTTATTTGTAAAAACCAAATGTTAATAAAAATGTATCAGAATTATGAATAAGTATAGTAAAATAGACTTGACTTTACTAATAAAATATTTTTCTCAGCCACCATTAAGTATATTTTTTTATATTTATTGTAAGCTTCTCAGTTACAAAATCTAACATTATTGGCAATCATTAGGGAAGAAGTGCTGGTTAAATTATTATGGAGTTTATATAATTTAAATTTAATAGAAATAAATAATATATTTTTTTAGTAGCTGTAAAGCCTACTATTATATGACATGTCAGACAGATCATAGAGTCCATTTGACATAGAATCATTATACAATACATGGGTTAGAGACTGGTAGTTGATAGACAGAGTTCACTGTTTCTTTCTGACTGAACATAGTGCTGATCAAATTATTTTGCTGAAGTCCAAAAAAAGCAACAAATTATCGCTGTCTTCGCAACATCTGAAATGGAAATTTACTTAAAAAGATGGAAAAACCTCTACACTAAAAAAAGGCGTTTCCAAACTGTAATATGTCTTAAGCCTAGAAATGATAGTACAAAATCAATAATGTCTAGCTCTGTGGCTAGCAAAAATAAAAGAGAACAGAGTTTCTTCCCTTTCTTCCCTGTATGCTGTTGAGATACTTCAGTCATGTATAGCTTCTTTTTTCCTGTAATCCTTATGACAAGACAATTTTGGCAGGCTGATCAGGTTACTCAATAAGGAGGTGGGAGTGAGGTAGTGGTGGCTAATCCTGTACTAACACCTAGAATGTTGCTTTATTTTTCCAACTTCTTGCTTTATTCTTTGCAAGACTATTGACAGGAATTCCCTTCCAATTTGTGTGACTTTGGTAGGAGCATTTAGTTATTGTAACAACATGATAATTCACCTGCTGTAATATTTCTTACTGAATTTTTTTTTTTTTGCTTAGGTTCGGACGCTTCAAGTTATCAAGTCATGATTTGAAAGAGCAATTGTGAATTCATGAATTGTTTTGAAATGAGCTTTATATTATAAAACACATACATTATTTATCTGCATTGACTTCAGCAGTTGAATCAGTTGTTGTTGTTTTTTTTAATACTTCACAAAGTTTAAAATGGGCTCTACTGGGACTGATGATCAATATGATTATATTTGGAAAGGTGAGTGTCTTAACTTCTTCGCTAATTTACATAAACCTGTATGAATAAGCCTGGACCCATTCTGAACCAAGTCAAGTAAAGTGTTCCTGATTGTTAGTTTTTGTTTACTTATTATTTTTTTTTAATTTGTTACAAACAGCACTTGTGCAATAAGACTACAGTGCCTCCTGTTGTTACTAAACTACTGAAGAATAAAGATTATTTTATATATCCTTAACAGTTGTTCTAGTTGGGGACTCTGGTGTTGGTAAAACAAATCTCCTCTCACGTTTCACGAAGAATGAATTTAACAGTGAAAGTAAAAGTACCATAGGTGTTGAATTTGCCACAAGGTTTGTTTCTTCACTTTTTTTAAAGCCTAAACTCTTTATCTAGCTTCAGTGCATTAAATAGTGATTGGTTAAAAGTCTTAAGATTGATTCACAGAATTAACTTTAAAGTCATTGCTCGACACAGAGCCCACAGTTTTTTGAGGATATTTAACTGAGCTTATATGATCAGACAGACTTTAAAATTAGAGTAAACTTACCTAAAAATGTGTAAACATCTTAGACAAATTACAAATTAACTAAAATGACATCAAAAATGTATTTACCCTATGGTCGAGTCGGTAAAGCTCATGGTTGCTAAACCGAAAAAGTCTCGAGTTCGAACCCTCTGGCAGATGAGGCTCGTTAGCTGGGCACAGCCACTCTTCTAGGAGAGACAACTCCAAAATCAAACAACTGCTGCCTTGTAGTTTGTTCTTGGTTGGACAAAGGCTATGGAAGCAAATCCAAAAAGAAAAGCAGGCTGAAATCTGAGTCAATGGCCTCAATGACGCAAAACCAGTTGACACGTAATCCTTAATTGTGATGGAAGCATGGTCGAGTCGGCAAAGCTCATGGTTGATAAAGTCGAAAAAAAGCCTCGAGTTCAAACCCTCTGGCAGATAAGGCTCAATCCCTCCCAACACTATAAATTAAGAACGAAAAAGAAGAAAGAAGATAACTGCATGTCTGTGCTGTTGTTTAAATAAATAAGTAATGCATTTTTACCTTTTATTATTGTTATTATTATTCCAGGCATGTGACAATCAAAGGTAAAACTATCAGAGCCCAGATCTGGGACACCGCAGGTCAAGAACGATACAGAGCTATAACTGCTGTGTGAGTACACCACTGCGTACACACTTTTAGCATGTACAATGTATACACTTTTGTATTCTTTGTTGGAGTTTAGTCATCCTTCGTTACACAGTTTAATTGTATGTTTAATCATTTATATAAAATATGCTGCAATGGGATTTATGAGTTGCTGCTTACACACTTATGTCATGTACTCTATACACATTTAGCCTCTATCGATTTAGAGATTACTGCATATAAAAAAGTAAAGCAATGAATTGTAATCGCAAAATATTTTTCAGTGACATTTAGAAATTTAAAATGTACAATGGCATAATAATTAACCACCTTTTTTAATATTTTCATACATAAAGTTTATTAAAACATAAAATTGACATTTACTTTTAGTATAATACAGCGTTTGCACTTGCGACACACATACTACACATGTCTAGAAAAAAAAACTTCGCAATAAGTGAGTAGGCTCCCCTATTATCTTAGGCCCTGAAGCAAAGTTTTTCTTCTAGACATGTATAGTATACATGTCGCAAGTGTAAACGCAGTTTAATGCAACGACAGTTTGGTTGTGTGCTTTTTTTTGTCAGTTAGATTTGGCAGACTTTATAAAATTATTCATACAACTATTTCCAACAGATATTACAGAGGTGCTGTTGGGGCACTGGTGGTTTATGACATCACAAAGAGCCAGACGTTTGAGAACCTGGTCAAGTGGCTGCAAGAGCTGAAGGAGCACGCTGACACCTCGGCCAGAATAATGATCGTGGGCAACAAGTCAGACTTGAGGCACTTGAGAGCTGTCACGCAAGAGGAGGGGCGCTTGTTGGCAGGTACGGTTGGGTGGGTGGTTGGCCGGTTTGGTTGGGTGGTTGATGTGTAGGGTTGGGTGAATGGTTAGCAGGTTTGGTTGGGTGGTTGATGTGTAGGGTTGGGTGAATGGTTAGCAGGTTTGGTTGGGTGGTTGATGTGTAGGGTTGGGTGAATGGTTAGCAGGTTTGGTTGGGTGGTTGATGTGTAGGGTTGGGTGAATGGTTAGCAGGTAGGGGTGGGTGGTTGGCAGGTTTGGTTGGGTGGTTGATGTGTAGGGTTGGGTGAATGGTTAGCAGGTTTGGTTGGGTGGTTGATGTGTAGGGTTGGGTGAATGGTTAGCAGGTAGGGGTGGGTGGTTGGCAGGTTTGGTTGGGTGGTTGATGTGTAGGGTTGGGTGAATGGTTAGCAGGTAGGGGTGGGTGGTTGGCAGGTGGGTTGGGTGGGTAGGTGGCAGGTTGGGTAGTTGGTGGGTGGGTAGGTGGCCGGTAGGGTTGTATAAGCTATTGGTAGGTATAGGTGGTTGGCATGTAGGTAGCTAGTAGAAGATAGTGTTTATGGGTTATTAGGAGGTAGGGTTGTTGGAGGTATGGTTAAATTGCGCTGAAACTTTGTTTTAAGGTTATTTCATGGTTTAATAATTGAAACAACTTTTACATGATGGATATAGAAAGTCCTTACTTTTAAATACTTGTTCATTTTTTAAAAACAGCTATATGTATCCTTTATGATGTTTTTATATTTCTAATTATATTATGTTAATTTATTTTTTTAGAAAAACACAAGTTTTCATTCATTGAAACATCAGCATTGGATGCTACAAATGTTGGTGAAGCATTTAACAATCTCCTTGTTGGTGGGTGATATGTTATATGTTTACTCATAAAAAAGTGTATATTATTTTATTAATGCTTTAGCTTCATAACATAAGATACTAATTTATTTTTAATTTATATATATATATATATTATGACATTTCATTATTTTAAGATTTTGTTTCATTTATTAAACTTTTTCAGATATCTTTAAATCCCAAGTTGAGGACTCTAATGCCATCCCACCCTCCAATTCCTCCACCCCTAACCACAGTGTCCAGAACAGTAGCCGTGTACACCTGCCAAGAGAAGAAACAAGTTCAAATCAACCTGAACAACAATGTTCATGCTGAATTGATTTCATTAAACGATCTTTCAGTTGATTTAATCATATCATTTGTGTGTGTGCAGTTTTGATTGCAGTATGTAGGTTATCTGCATGGATGATATATCTTTTATTCTTATTTTAGGTTAAATTAAGAGTAATTTCAAACCCAAAGTGTTAAAAGAATATTGTATAACATTTCACTTTTTCCTTGCCACTCAATTTTTATTATACTAAACAAGACTTTTTAAGATTTCTTTAATGTAGCTCTATTTGTTTTATAAAGTTTCCTTTTTTAAAATACTATTTAAATTAATTCTACATTTTTTTCCTCGTCTTTACTCTGAATCAGTAAATTTTTTGTGTTTTATTAAGAAATAAAGCTATTGACGTTTACAAATTCATTTTTTAAGCAGCTACAAAATTCTTTTAAAAGATTATTTTTAATCTCAAAACCATTATGGCTTTGCCAAAATCAGTATGGCTTTATCATTGATTATGGCTTATTTTCTCTGCATAAATGCAGCTGTTTACTTGCCCTATTGATGCTGTTGTATACATTTTTATCTCTATATTTATTGTTTGGGACATGGTTACAACAAACAGGAGTAAGTGTGCAATTCCATTTGTACTGCTGGAGTTTTGCTGTTAGGTTGGGCTGGTTATTTGATGTCAGTCAAATCTGTTCTTTATCCATTCATCATGACATAATATTGAGAGAACTTTGGAAAACATTTATTACAAATCTAGTTAATTAACATTCTGAGATCTGTATTTATTTTTATAGATATAAAAAAAGGTTTAATATACAATCTTTTTAACATTTTGTCGTCCCCTATTCCCCCGTCCCCTTTTTATTTATTAAAATAAAGATACTTTTCTGTAAACAGAAAAGTAAGTTTTATTAATAAAAAAATAGTGATTACAAACTATCTTTAATATTGCTAATATTTGAACCAGTATAACTAATTCAGCCCTGGACAAGGGTTGCAAATTGTCTTTAAATTACTATTTGTCCAAAATATCATTATATAGGACTAGTATACAGACAGAAATGGGTTAAAAAAAAGTTATGTCCTGCACTGTAGGACATGCAGCAGAGGGTTAAGTATTTGACCTGAATGTTTCATGGAAATAAATTTTGGCTTGAAATGTTTTACAGTTTTATTTAAAAGCCAAAGGTACTTGAAGCTGTTTAACATTCAGTAAACTTTCCTCTCAGGAATTTAAAAGTTTGGATCTATTATTTGTTTATTGACTTGAAATAATGATCATGTTAATTTTTTTAACGCATGGTAATTGTGAATTTGTGTTTACCTTTCAGTCATTTAATTTATTTATCCACCACTAATTTGATTATTTTTATGATGGATAACAATTAGCATAGTGATTTATGGGTTGATGGTTATAATTATTTTTTTTATAATGTACTTAGTTGTTTATTCTATCTTTGTTGTAAATATTAGCTTTCATTTGCTTCGATTGTGTGCATTTCAAGATGTATTATGTAACAACTATTTAATGTAAATATTGTTCAAGGGAGATATTTAGACAAGAAAAGTTTATAAGTAGTAAGGGTCGTTTTTATTGGTAACTTCACCCTAAGACTAGATCAGAATTGCAGAAATTGTAACAGGTAACTAGAAATATTCTCTAAGTGTTTCAAACATGAAAGATAAGATATAACTATTTCTTGTTTCTAGGGAATAGACAATCATGTTAAATATATATATTCTTTTTTAATGAAATCCTAATATAACAATGGATTATCTGCTCCTGGTTTAAGATTGTGCCTTTTTAATTAAATATAAGCTTTCTAAGATATTTTCTGCATACCAAACAAAAATTTAAAATGCTGGTACTGTAAAAAAAAAAATTTATTTACTGTAACTTTTTTCTGTAATTTGTATTTCTTTTTTTTTTATATTAAAATGTCCACATTCATATATTGGTAAATTGAAAATTTTTTTTTAAAGTAAGGAACAATCAGGATACATGTACTCTCTGAGCATTGGTTTCTCAATCTATGATCAACATTTTATGATAATCAAGGTCTCCGTTAGTATGCTACAACATATCAATCATTGTTCTACCTAATGCTGTGTTGAATGCTCAATCATGGGAAGAAATTTTTAAACCAGTACCCGTCCAATTATATTTTGGCTACTTTTAGGTGTTGTGTAAAAAGCATTCTGTAATATTTTTTTCCTGTGTAAATCGGGTTATTTTATTGTTACCAAGGCTTTGCTTTTTATATTACTAATTAACATAACAGTGTATTTTTCAAAACGTTTCAAGTGAGCTTTTAAAACATTTTTACATCTGCTTCCACAATATTTTAATCAGAATGTTAACACTCCATACAGATCATTTTTACAGCTAATGGTTAGCTCTTTTATCACATACATTTTTTTCTTGAATTCTTTTGAAGACATCGTCCACTTTATTTTTAGTTTATACTGGATCACATATATTTATACTATTAAATGTTGAGTTAAAATACTAAAAGGATTTTTAAGTAAACCTAGTTAACCTAGACCTGACTCTACATGGTTCCTTTAAGCGAAACATTTGATTTTTTTATTGTTTTAATATTTTGTTATAAAATTAGAATCTCTAGTTTGATCTCTTATTAATTATTGCACCCGAAATATTTTTAACCCAGCCAAGTATAAAATTAAAAAAACAAGCCTTTTTCTTTTCTGCACTTTGTCCGATGACTTCCTTCAATGTGAAGAGGTACTGATCTTGCCCTTGCAGAAATTTTAGTACAAAATGTAATGAGTACATTTACTAAACCCTGTATCTGTGTTGTAAACTTATAACATTCTTTAAATTTGTTGTATTAACAATTCTTTTGTGTGGAGGTGATGGTTATTATATAATTTTCAACCAAATATCACAGGTTTACACCAGCAAAGGTGAATTTTTTTATAAAGTCCTACTGTTTGAACAACTCTACTTGCACTACACAGTATTCAGCTTATTGATGAAGCAACTACAAGTTTTTATTCTTTGATCTAATTCACCTCTGGTTAACGGGCCCTGATAAAGTCTTCCATAAAGAGTAATCTCTTCTGGGCTTTTTGAGTGCATGTTTATTCTTTACTGTTGTCATTTATCTTAATTGTAAAAGAATTATTCCACCAAATAGAATCCTTGGTTGTGATAGTACACTAATCAATTTTTTTTTAAATTAAAAATCTATTTTATAAAATGTACATATTGATTCATGTACACAAGATGCATCTGTTAAGTTTTGTGAATAAATTTCTTTCAAGCTAAACTCTACAGATTCATTTATTGTAATGAGAGATGTTACAGGTCACTGTATTTGGTCCAATCATATTTCTTTAAGGGGATCCAGACAAAAGGCCAACATCAAAATGGCCAGCTGGACATACGGCTGACAAGTTTTATAATCAACGCTTGAAGCATCCTACTTGTAGCATTGAGGGTGGGATTTTACAAATTTATTATATTTTAAGTATTTACCCTACTTCAAATTTTCTTACACCCAGTCTGAACATTAAAAATGTTAAAACTATACAAATTTAGTCTCTTTAGTATTGCCATTCTCCACACCCTAAAACAATGTAGCTTTGATTTTATATTTGATTCCACCCAAGGAGATGTCATGGTATTACAAATTTTTAAATGTTTATAGTTGTACTGGGACAAAGTAGTTGAATTTGAATCCAGTGTAAAGTCCCCCTGGTCTGATGGAACTAAAATTGCTGGGCTTAGTGCCAACCATACTAATTACTATCCCTTCATAACAGGTGAACTCTACTTCACTTGCCCCAAGGACCGTCAAATTTGGAAGAGAACTTAACTTACTGTGGTATACAAATTTTCTTAATATCAATATTCCTTTTTAATAAAAAAAAATACTACTTTATTTAACCTACTTCATTTGGTTTAGTTTCTTTCCTTCATTTCTTCACAAAATTTATTACCACCTTCCAGTTTTTCTTTGTAAAGACTAAATTGTTTACCTTATTCTAATAGCAGCTAGCATGGTCTTTTGGCATTCTACTGTATGTCCCCTCTTGGACGTTCATCTTTTCTTGCAAGTAGGTGGTGTCTTAGTTGTCTCATGTAGTCTAGAGAAGGCTGTGTATTTACCCACATTTTGTGGAATTACAATTTTTGTTTTTCAGCCTTATGGTCTGTTTGCCTAATATACACTCAGCCTTTTGATATACACCCTCTTAAAGTGACAAGATATTTTAATATTATCAGACAAATTGCCTGATTGGAGAGGATTGCTTTTATATCCAGGATGTTTTTCCATAATTAATGTTATATGCCCAAACCATCCTTCCTTCCAGTGGTCATTTAAAAAAATAAAGCACTAGAAATTGTAATGGAAAAAAAAAACATTTGTAAACAAGCCATTTTATTTATTTATAATACTAATTTTTCTATATCAAATACTAACACAAACATCAGATTCATTATACAATGATCAAGTTATATTTTAGATGGTACAAACACAAAAAGCTACTTGGATGGACTATTAAATTTTTTTTGGCCTGTTATAACTTCTTGGTCCACTGCTGACACTATCCTGTATAAGATGTCAAGATGTATGATAAGACATTTTCATGTCTTTAAAAAATTTAAAATTCGTGTATCAAACTGAATTTTTTTTTTCCCCATTGCATTATTACGTACAACTGATAAATTATTTTGAAAGACAAAATGTTGCATTTCCCAGCCACATTATATCTTGTCAAACATTGCTGAAAAATGCCATGTAATAACAGTTTACCATAAGGTCCTAAGACAAATCCCCTGTTGACTTAGCAAAGAAAGGGGGAAGACAAGCAATTAACCACATGGAAATCAGTGCACTAATTGCGTATGTACACAATGTAAGGTTTCTGCACAAATGCATTTATGTTAACATATTTGTGAATTCTGACCATTAAAAAATGTTTACTCAATGTGTGTATACAATTACAGACAGCTCCTGATTTTAAAAAAAAAAATGAAACATTGGAAAATCTAATCAAAAAGAAACCAGGATTCCTTTTATACACAACTTACAGGATGTTTGTTTAAATATATTTACACAGTGATGACAAGTATGTAAAATGTGATTTCTACTTTTAAAAAATGGGGTGGTGAACAATTTAGTTCAAAGTAATAAAACAAACATAAGGTCCTTACATACGTCAACAGTCAAACATTCAGTCAAAAATAGTCTGGATTGTTTTTTTATGGAAATTGAGTGTTAATTACAAAATAATTTTGCTTATTAATGAGAGGCACATTGTACTCTTTGACCTCCTTGATGCTCATCATCTGAATCATATGCTTCAAGATGATTTGAACTGTACCGACTCTGATCCTGAGTAGGGTCAAAATCTTGTAGAGCACATTCTTCAGCCCCATCTGGTACAATCACCTCCTGTACAGAACATATTTTTATTATTAGTGAAAACAAGTAGCTAAAATTTAAGTAAAAATTCCTATAAAGTTAAATGTAAATACACATCACATGTGACTGGCCAAAAAAGGAATCCTTTAAAATTTGTGCAGAAGGAAGTATATTGTCAAAATTTAAATTATTGAAGCTGAAATACAGCTTTTGAAAAATACTGGATTTACAAGAGAAAAAAACAGCAGACCTACAAATGTGAAAAAAAATTAAATACTTCAGTAATACTAGGTGTAACATGTACCCGTATGACAATTAGTCTAGTACAATTAATTTGAATTGCAAGTGTCCATTTGTCTCAAGACCGTGAACTATTCAACAAGAAATTACATGTGGAGATTTGGAGCCTTGAGCGGAATGCACAGAATAGAAATTAAACATGGACAAATACAATGCTTTAAAAAATGTACAAGGTTACAAACCTGTCTTGGCGGTAGAACTTTCTCTAGAGTTTCAATGGCTTGTGGAGTTAAGGAACCACTGGGTGGAAAATTAACCAAAAATTGTATAATGAGCCTTCCTTTTTCAAATGGATCACGGTACACAGGCATTCCCTCACCCATCACACATTTCACTGCTTCATTTTTTATTACTTCACCTTAAAGAAAAATAGAATTAATGAGATAACAAAGCTTTAGAAATAATGTAGGGTAATAAAAAACCTGTTAGTATTTTTCAGTAAAAAAGTTAATTAAGCTGATATGCCCATGACTTAGTATACTAAACCTACCAGGTAAACTAGTGATAACTAATGTTCGTGCATCCATTGTCTGGATAGTTTTCTGGAACCCACATAATGCTTCTACCAACTCAATGTGCATTGTCATAATCAGGTCATTTCCTCGTCTTTTAAATGTGCTGTTTTCTTGTTCATCTAATACTATAACAATGTCTCCAGGTTCAAGGTCAGGCTCCTGATCACCCTCACCAGAAAAACGTATCTGTTGGTTGTCTCTCATACCTTAAAAATTGTAAAATTTCAATTAAAAACCTCAAACCACCTCTTATAAAAAGACTAAAGAATGTCAATTATATTCTCATAACACTAACCTTTGTCTATATGGACTTCCAAAATTTTTCGTTCTTTAACTATTTTCTTTCCATTGCAGTTTTTACATCTGTGCTTTGGGTCAATCACCTCTCCTTCACCCCTACATTCACCACATACTGACTGGATTTGTTGCACCATGCCAGGACCTAACTGTTGAATGCGTACTTGCATGCCTGTACCACGGCAGTTTGTGCATTTCTGAACTGAACCTTCCTTTCCTCCTCTACCTAATTTGCAATATTTTAAAAAGCAATAAAATAAATTAAAAAACCTTGAAATAAACCATAGATATATACATCATATCAGACTTTTAAAAAAATTGATTACTAAAATAATGATCAATATGTATTAATTAAACAATGATTTATCCTTTCTTTACCTTCACATTTTGAACAAATGACATTTTTCTGTAGTGCAAGCTTCCTTGTAGCCCCTTGATATAAATCTTCTAAGGGAACCTGAAAATTGTTTTGTTTAAAAATGAATTGTGCAGTTTAGATGGATTATGCAGTATACAAAATTAACTGCATACTCCAAAAGCAAGGTTTTTAAATATTATAATATTTGCAATTGTCTTCCTTGAATAATAAGAAAAACAAAAGCCATACAAATATTTAAATAATCATTTGCAGGAAATAAATTGAAGATCTAAATATGTCTCCTCATTTAAAAAAAATTACTTAAATATTACCTTTAGCTGGTGAATTACATCCTTCCCCTTCCTAGGACCTCTTTGAGCTCCACGTCTACCACCACCACCAAAAAATATATCGAATATATCCATGGGTGAATGGAAATCAAAGCCACCACCTCCAGCTCCGCCTTTGATTGCTTCTTCACCACCTTTGTCATAGATTTCTCTTCTTTTAGGGTCTGAAAGGACCTCATATGCCATGCTGATTTGCTTGAACTGTGGACAGTTTTAAAATATTGTAAATTTTTTATAAAAACAAAGCCACTTTCCCCAAAGGTGTGATTTCTTGCTATCTCTGAATAAATTTAACCATTTTGGTTTAAGAACTAACTATCTATGATGTGAAATATGGAAATTACATTTACATGTTTACTAATAGCTTTCCATTATAATTGATTCAGGTTCTAACCAACTCTAGTGTGAAATCAAAAGTTTGTTTTCATATTTTATTTAAAATCACAAAAATATGTGATATAATGTAGTTTGATAAGTTCATACAACAGCATTTTTTTTTTACAGCGGGTTAGGTTAGTGGTGCAAGTATGTAGTTAGAGACTGCCACTTTAACAAGTGTTATAGCTGTCTTAACAACTTAAGTATCAAACTTTATAGAGAATCTCTTTAGGCCTACCTTTTATGTAAAAATAAAATACTGAAGCATGTGTTTACACAAAAATTAGCTCAAAATTTGTAAGAAATATAACAGAAAAAATGAAACCTCTAATAACTTACTTTTAAAATATCTTGCATGTATAGTAAAAGTGAAGCAATTTTTTTACTCAAAACAATATGGGTAACAGCTATAAGTTATTTATGGAAATATCTTGCATGTATAGTAAAAGTGAAGCATTTTTTTACTAAGAACAATATGGGTAATAGCTATAAGTTATTTATGGAAATTTGGTGTGGTCAAATGGCAGAGCTTTTAGCTTCTAGCCTGAATGTCTCAAGTTCGGACTTGTGACTGTAGGATGTCCCGAATCCATACAGCTCTGATGGGTAATTGACTTAAGTTGGGGAAAGTAAAGGCGGATGGGCATAGTGCTGACCAAACTATATGCCAAGGTTAAGTTAAATTGTACTTAAAAAATTGTCCAATTGATCACTAGGTCTAAAGAGCAATCTTTTTAATCGTGTTATGGCTCATTAGGCCCTCTATTTGTAGCAACAGGGTATGTTGCGTTTGCCCACATTAGCAACAAGTTAGTTAATTACAATTGTATGCAGCTGTCACACTGATCAAAGAGTTTACCAAAACTGTTCAAAATGGTAGACTGACTGATACTTACTTTATCACCTGCATCTGGATTTTTGTCAGGATGATATTTGAGTGCTAATTTTCTGTAAGCCTTCTTGAGTTCAGCATCTGTGGCATTTGGTTTTACTTCTAAAATATCATAATATCCTGTTTCTTTTACCATTTTGAATTATTTACTTCACTGGTAATTGTTTGATTCCTAAAGAAGAAAAGATATTCAGACAATCATTAAAACAATTTTTTTTAAAACTAGTTTCTCTAATTATTGCCCTAGAGATCTAGGCTTATATCTCTGGATCTAAAAGAAATAATCCTTTGTGAGGCCTTTGTCCTAATGAATTACTACACTGTTAGTCGTCTAGTTAAGTCTAGTCAGTAGGTAGAGCCTAACTAGAATCTAGATCTACTAACTATTACTAACTAATCTTAAAGTTTAAAGGCCTCCTACTACTAACCATAAAAATGTTAATGTAGGCCTAACTTTATCAGGCCTAAATACTAAATAATAAGAAAAATGCCGCCTATCTCATACTAGAAATCTAAATCTTCTAGTTCTAGACAGATATAAATTTATCTGTAATCTATCGTTTTAGGTACGTAAAATAGCCCACGGCTAGTAATGTACAAAAAAAGTTTACTCATTGTCAAGGCTGTAATAGAAGTGTATTGTGATACATTTGTGTCAAATATTATAGATAAATGAATATAAATCTAAATCAATGAACTAAATATATCAATATAGGCAAGAAATTATCCTTAAACAGCAGTGATTGCGAGCAGGATTTTGCTATATAAAAAGCAGCCATCTGTAAGTTAGAGTGGCTTCCCCTGAATCTTGCGCTATAAGTTTACTCAAATTTACTGTAAAAAAATAAGATGGCTGCTATAGACAGTAAATGAGCATGGTTGCATCTGTTGGAAACATCGCTAGTCTTCATTTATTACTGAAAAGTTTTAATTCAATTGTTTAAAAACAAGTACATAAATGAAACAAGGGAACATTTTTGTATTTTTCAAAACATAAATCCTCCTCAAAATGTAAAATAATTACTAAAATTTAAGGAGTCACCTGTTTTTCGCATTACAAGTCGCAGGCGATTTTTTATTTTACGTACGTAAAACAATAGATTACCAATTTATCTAGACTAGTTCACTAGACTCAACTACACTGACTGGAGTTGACTAGATCTAGATCTAGATCTAGACTTCTAGATCTACCTCAGTCCTCACTTTGACAACATACATGATAAATGATTAAATATTAAATTAAATAAGTCATGAGTTAAAGTTCTAGGTAAAATCACGATATAGCGTCGGAAATTATTGGGTAATGTTCGTTGAGTTTCGGTAACATTCGTTACTGTAAACCATACTTTATTTGACCGGTGAAAGAAAAATAAAGTCAAGTGCATTAAATTAATGTTTTAACTTAATTTAATGTTTAACTGACAAAAAATTAGCAACACTTAGTAAATCTAAATATTATTAATAAAGTCGAGTGTAGTAATTAATGGTTTTTTTTAAGAAACAGATAAAATCTGCAGAAGATTTGCGACAACCAGCTCTAGATCTAGTTCTGTTAGTAAATAAGACGATTAGGCTAGATTAACTAAAGTTAAAAGTAGTAAGAATAACTAGAATAATGTTTAGTAGCAGCAATAATTAGCACTTACACTTAAAATAGTTAGAAATACAAAATAATTAGGAAAACAGTATTTAAAATGCAACTAAAATCAATCCTTGCACATTTTTAAACATTATGTACTAAAAATAATATGGCGGCAAATAAATGATGGTTTACAGTATTTCCGGTGGTTTCCGGAACGGCTCGACAGACTACGCCATGGTTTTACTGTTTTTTACTGCTGTACAGTTCCGGAATAATAACCGACGCTATATCGTGATTTTACCAAGTTCTATAACACTACAACTCAGTAGACCTATTCTATACTATTGTCTACAACTACAATACTCAATACTTGAGTGTAGAAGAAGTAGAAATCTTAAACTTTTGTCACTAGACTAGGCCAGACTATTGACTTAGGCCAAATCTCCTGGAATTTTTCTCGGAATCTCTTGATTAGATTTCTATTTTTCTAGGCTAGCTCACTATGGAAACTTTACCTTGCGCCTTACAATACAATCAGTAAAAAATAAATCGTTGCAAGCTCGAATATATTTTATTAATCAGTGTTATCACAGTTATTGAAGCTTAAGTTCAGCCAGTGAGATTCGTTCGGTGCGAAGTTTTACGAAGCAAGTTTTACAATGAAATATCTGGTACCATTACCTTCCTATATTTGTTAGAGAGAACAGCCTAGAAATTTCTGGATCATGACTGCGCATGCTCGTAATTTGCCGATCGCATATTTTGATGACGGTTGGGTTTTTTTGTGTGTTAAAAAGTTTTATCTTTTTTTTTCGAGGGTTTTTTTTTTTAAACCTGTTCATGAATAAAATTCAGTAACTACAGACAACTTCTCGATGCTAAAATATTAAAATATAATAAATATTGTTTTATTACAATGCAGTTTCTTTTTAAGAAAAAACACTAAATTAGCATTTCACAACTAGCAGCGCCATTATGGCAAGTCTAATAAAGAGATGATCGCATTAGGCCTATCGGACTGCAGAGACATTTGCAAATAGATTCTAGGCCTAACTAGATCTAGATGATCTAGGAAAAAAAAGATATTGAAACATCAATTTACAAACTGAAGGCCTATTACTAAACAATAGCTTTTTTTAAAAAAAATAGGTTCTAGTTACATAGAACGACAGGGTTTCTTATATTATTCTCCGAGATGGGGCAGAGGCGTGCGAGGGCGGGATGCAGACAGAGTTTCTTCCAGGCATCTCTTCGGGGGGGCAAAGCCCCCCCGAAAAATTTTTACCGCCCCCCCCCCCCCCCCCCCCGAAAGAAATGAAATTTATATAGAAAATATATACTTTTAACAGTGTCCGCCCCCCCCCCCGAAGAAAGTTTACCGCCCCCCCCCCCGAAGATTTCAAGTGCCCCCCCCCCCCGGAGAAAAAAGTCTGGAAGAAACACTGGATGCAGACCGCACAGGTTGACACCATTTAGGGGTGATACCAAGGCAAAAAATAGCAAAATGTACTAAAAATGCTTTTTTGCCAGTTCCATTAATGACCAATTAAAGTTAAATAGTCTTTTAAGTAGAAATCGACAATTATTACAAGAGGATTGAGTTTTTTTGTCTTTATTTGTCTAATCTGTAATCACACTGTTGTGTGCTGACGAAGACCTTGGGTCGAAACGTCCATAGTACTTGTAACTGTCTTTAACTTGTGAGGTAACTAATACTATCTGTTTTATTACTAATTACATTAACCTCACTGCAGCTACCATTTGTTTTTTTTTTAGCAATAGAGAAAGCATTGTTACATTCAACTCTATTACTGAAAGACTAAAGATAAACATCGTTACTCGTACGTCTGCAGTGAATAAAGCTTATTATAGACTGATGTAGGCCAATATATATATATATATATATATATATATATATATATATATATATATATATATATATATATATACTTTGTTTCTTGAGGGGGGGTGACACCCGACATATCGACGCCACTGCGATTTCCGGGGACAGACACTGGTTAAAGTACATATTTTCTATATAATTTATAATTATAGGCCCTAATTTTTTTTCTATTTCGTCCGGAGTGAGGCAGTGGATGTGACAGAGAGAAATTAATAATAGGCTCATATTTTGTTCCACTGTAGGCCTATTCCGAAATGTATTATTTGCCTCAGAATATTTATAGGCGCAAAAGTGTGGAAAACAATGGATTGCTTGACTATAAATAATAGGCTATAAGCACAAAATTTTGTTAACACAACGAGCAAAATGTCACACTAAGCATTAATACAAGCAGAGGCGTAGCGACCCCTCCCGGCGCCCGGGGCGAACTTTCAGTTTGGCGCCCCCCCCCATATATATATATATATATATATATATATATATATATATATATATATATATATATATATATATATATATATATATATATATATATATATATATATATATATATATATATATATATATATATATATGCGTGTGTGTGTGTTTGTGTGTGCGACAGTCTGGAAAAAATTTAACAACATACGCTGATTGTCGTTTCCTAAAACTTCACTGGACGCCAATTAAATTCCCAAGAGCTTAGAACAGTGGGCTCCATCGAACCCGAGAGGTTCGGTAATTCAATCTCAGGGCTTCCGCGGAGGTCAAGACACACAGCCGACTCTTATGATTCACGATCGGATTTCGTCATTGTGGACGATACAACTATTAAGGAGGGTTCGATGATTGCGCATATGAAACTGGTGGGGTTCGGTACTCCAAAAAGTTAAGAACCACTGCTTTAGAATGTATTTTATAGAAGGCGCAAGCCTTATTTGGTCTACTTTTGGTCGTGTCTTTAGAACAATTTCGATAATAGTAGGCCAATTTTGAATTATCAGTTAGGTTGAACAAAGTAATAATTAGTACAATATACTAATTTTCTTCTCTCTTAAAATTTTGGCAAAGAGTGTCGCTTCCCATCCACCCGCTCCGACAGTGCTATTTTACTGATCGGATAGCGATACAAGAATCCGTTATATTTATTTCTCTTTAATGCAGTGATCCAGGCAAGATGTAATGCAATCAAGTAAAAGTATCTGATCTATCCCGATCAAGTTGAGAGAATCTTAAGAATCGTACAAAGAAGTAGTCGCATTATTACTTAGCAAAACTGGGTAGTGAAATCGTACATTTAGTGTTAATACAATTGATTTCTTTTCTAAGTGTTAAAAGAGTTATCTAGCAACCGATCCAGTACAAATCCTGCGATTTTTGTTAGAGAAAAAGTGCCCCACCATCTTGGACAAAAATGGTAGAGCTGATTTTAAACGTCACTAACTCTTTTTTATGTTACACAATCGTTGAAATGCGCTTTAGTTCAATGGGTTTCTTTTCTGAGTGATATCGGTTATTTATTCCTTAATCCGGTGTGAATTTTCCTATTTTAGTCTTCGAAAAAGCGCCCCCCCCCCCTCTCCATCTAGGAAAGCTGGAAAGCGGTTTTTTCAGGACACTGTTTCTTAAAGATATACGTTTTACAGTTACACAATCAAGGTAGAAAACAGTTAAATCAGTATGTAAAGGCTCTCAGCCGTTAAATTTCTTTACGTTGACTATTTATATATCAAAACTGCAGCTTAAAATGAGCTTTTAATTTTTTTTGGCGCCCCCTAGGGTCGGCGCCCGGGGCGGCCGCCCTCCCCGCCCTCCCCTAGCTACGCCTCTGAATACAAGTGGGGCGCATTTGCTGTCACTTTCTTAAAATAAAGAGGATAAAATTATTATAACTATAAACATTAGTTATCTAAATTTCAAAATACAAAACATTCGACATTTACGCTTCAACGAATTTGAATAGGCTAAGTACGAAAGCAACTATTGTAGCTTCCTACAATGGACATTACATGATTACCCCCCCCCCCCCCCCCCCACGGTCATAATTACCAAGCCACCGCTTAATTAAGAGTTTAATATTTACAACAAAATCAAAATTTAATTTTTACAAACATGAATAAAAATAAAGGTCAATCCTGAAGTTGATGTCTGCTTACATGTCACAAACAATTGTTAAAAATCCGATAACTGGTGTTCAACTGGCTGTCCGTCTGACCGATGCTCAATTTGTGGAAATGATGTCCTGAGAGAGAACATTGATACAGCGCCAATAAACAACTCTCAAATTTATCAAGAGTTGCTGCATTTCGTTGACATTTTCTGGTCACATTTTATTTTGAAGCAAAGACATAGCGAATAGCACGATCCCTTGTATTTATATATGACTGCGCTGAACATATTTCTGATCAAATCATATACCAGATACATCCCTAACCTTAAACCTACCCCAACCTACCCTTAAACTATCCCTGTCGTATCTCTAATCAAAGGAGCGGATGTCCTGCTATAGTTTCTTTGCGACGAGTATTTTGAAAGGAGGGTAATAGCTCCGAGTATTAATGACAGGGCTACATGGGGGGGGGGGGGGGGGGTTAATGTCCTATTCAGTGTTTCTTCCAGACCTTTTTCTCCGGGGGGGGGGACTTGAAATTTTCGGGGGGTGGGGGCGGTAGACTTTCTTCGGGGGGGGGGGGGGGGGGCGGACACTGTTAAAAGTATATATTTTCCATATAAATTATATAAATTTCATTTCGTTCGGGGGGGGGGGGGGGGCGGTAGAATTTTTTCGGCTCGCCCCTCCCCTCCCCCCCCCCCCCGAAGAGATGCCTGGAAGAAACTCTGGTCCTATTCCCAAGAATAGCGGATGCATTGCAAAAGTTATGTTAAACTTGTTTCAAAGATGTAGTCTGTCTTTTTATTTAGGCCCAAATAGATTGTTACAGTGGCGTAGAGAGGGGTGAGCTATAAGTTATAACTCCTCCAATTGAACACCCTTTATTAAACATTTTGAGTGTCATAATACTAAAAAAGTGCGTACGGGTTACCAAATAGGCTATATGTAGTAGATTGAGAAAGTAACAGCTGTATTACTGTTACTCTCTCAATCCTTTCCCCAGCTACAAGGCCTATTTGGTAACCCGTTCACACTTTTTTTTTTTAAAACGGCAAATAGGCTTTTATTTATTCTGATTCCTGTCTACTGGGTAGATTACATCAAAAAATCTTCCTCATTATTTTTTTTTCCATTTTTTTTTGTGTGGGTTTAAGTCTATTGTAAAAGTTCCCTTTTCTAACCTGACGGTCTATAGGGCAAGTGAAATAGAGTTCACTTGTTTCTGTGACCTCGGCATATGAAGAGATAGTCTAGTCATCACTATGCCCAGCCGCCTTTTCTTTCCCTAACGTGAGTTAGGTACCCGTCAGAGTTGGGTGGACGTTGAAGGGCTTTTTATTCTAGTATTTTCTTTACTGTATTCTTCGTATTTACAACGGTGGCGGTAAATATTTGATGTCGTATCTTTAACGTAGCAATGAGCTTTGAGAAATATTCGGTACGTGTCCTTGTTCACTATTGCTCCTTATATTCGCTTACAACCCCACCTAGATCGATTGATCTAGATAAAGCCTTTATATAATATATAATTGATTGATTAGTCCTCTTTGCTCCTTATGGAGCATAGGGCCTCCACCATTTCCTTCCATTTCTTCCTATCCTCGGCTATTAATTTTGACATCTCCCAAGACATCCCTATTGGCTTCAGTTCTTCAAGAAGGCTCCGCCTCCAGGTCTGTCTTGGGCGCCCTCTCATTATATTACATATTATATTTACATGTTCATAATATATAATAAATAGGCCCTATACATGCAAAAAAACTCGCACCTCTCCCATGACCTCCTGGCTACGTCACTGGGTTGTTGGTCTACATTTCTTGCACTGGTCCGGCTGGTCCACGTCTTTCTGGGAAGGCACCCCAGACAAATACGAGACTTTAATCCTACGTATCGGACTACTTCGACTAACAAAACAAGACAAGCATTTCTAAGGTCTGTAACTATTACAGGCATCCCGCCTGCTTACTAAAATAAACCGGGAGTGATCTCCCCTAAACTTTCTCGAATATTCTTATATAAAACAACAGGGGATGGGAACTCGGGATATAGATCTAGTTATGATTTTTAATCCATTTTAAATACTTAAACTTTTTAAAATAGAATAGAATCTCATAGAAAAAAAGTATTGCGCACCAAGCGAACGCCGAATAAAGATGTTCATAATGGTGCGCAATATTATTAGTACTTTATAAATTTAGATGCGTTTTTGAGAAATCGGAAATAGCGTAAATTAGTACTTCCCGTCAACGGAAATTACTCATAATTTAACAGAAGGTAGAGAATTCTGAAATAGTACTCAAGTTATAGGCTTTTGAAAAATTCAAAGTAGAAAAAGTACCACTTCCGGTTATCGGAAACCGCTCAAAAGTTGTTACGGATCTACGATTTTGATAAAATACTTATATATGAAATTTCATCAACCTAGCTGTAACGGTACTCAAGTTATCGTGTTTACACACACACACACACACACACACACACACACACACACACACACACACACACACACACACACACACACACAGACACACACGCACAGACACACAGACATACGGACAAGATTGCAAAATTATGTTTTTCCGTATCAGTGAGGTGTAAAACGTCGAGATTTGTAAAAATCTCGATTTTTTTTGCACGATTACAATACTTTCTCTATACTACGTATATACGAGAAAGTAAAAATTACAATTGGTCTGAATACATTACGGTATCACAGTACATGTTTTCCCAAATGTTCATACCAGGTCTGAGGGAGGTGGGGTGGGGATGGACTCATTCAAGTCCGACCATCGCCAGTCACCGTAGGTCAAACCAGGCGACCGTACTACTCTTCCCTGCACACAACTAGGTGTGACACTACGCAGGGGCGTAGCGAGGGGGGGCGGGGGGTGCGGACCGCACCGGGTGACACCATTTAGGGGGGTGACACCAAGGCATAAAAATAGCAAAATATATAGAGAAAAACTCGAGGGGGGGGGCAAATCGAAAGTTTGAGGGGTGGGGGTGCAAATCGAAAATTTGAAAGTTTGTCCCTGGGAAGGGTCTCCTATGCCTCGGGGGAGGGGGGGACACCCGACCTCGCTACGCCACTGACACTACGTCTTCATATCGAGTTACGGCCTAAGTTCATTGTAACAATCAACAACGAACGGCGAACTTTGACCTGATAACTAGCTTTTTCTAATATAATTCAGCTAAGAATTCCTTACCCCTCTGAGACCACAGCCCGGCAATGCAAAACTAAAGACTCTTTTGTAGGCCATGGCATATAACCCCCCTCTCTTCCGGCATGTCCCCCCCCCCAATGTTTCTTCCAGACTTTTTCCTCCGGGGGGGGGGGGGGTCTCTTGAAAAAAAATTGGGGGGGGGGGGGGGGCGGTAGACTTTCCTCGGGGGGGGGGGGGCGGACACTGTTAAAAGTAAATATTTTCTATATAAATTTCATTTCGTTCGGGGGGCCCGAAGAGATGCATGGAAGAAACTCTGCCCCCCCCCCCCAACTGTCTCCCCGCCCGGCAATTCCACCCATTAATACATTAGTTGCGTTTGTTGAGTCAGTCATTCCCTTGGATTTATCTGGTAAAAGCATAGATCTAAATTCCATTTCGTTTGGGGGGGGGGGCAGTAGACTTTCTTCGCCCTCCCCCCCCCCTCGAAGAGATGCCTGGAAGAAACTCTGGACACTGTCCATTTAGCATATTCTCTAGTCTACGCCTAGATATTACTCTTTTTCCCTTTATTACTTCAAACTTTTATTTTTCAAAAAGAAGACAACATAAAAAACAATGTATCCTTAAAAAATAAAACATTCGAAGAGATGTCATGGAAAGGCGCACATTTTATTTACCATTATTTTTAATTACTGGTGGCTTTAATGAAAATATAAAGGAAATAAAAAGGTCATTTATCTTCGGTACGTTTTCTGCTGAATATCACGTGACAAAATGTACGCCAAGGTAAGAGACAAAGGGTTATCTTCCCTAGAGAGCTTTAATTTTTATTGAATTTCCAGGTAGCTGCAATTCTGTATGTGTTAGCCAACAAACTATTATGTACACATCCCTTTTAATTACTCTAGGGTGTCTAGTTATTAATTTCTGCTCTATCTTTCTTTGTTTGCGATCGGTATTACACACATGCAGTCAAAGCTTTAGGCTATTGGCGCCATCTTTTTTTCAGGAACTGCAACTTTAGATATCACCTTATTAAAAATAAACACTAGATCTAGAATCTAGATCTAGATCTAGTACTCTAGGACTCTAGCTAGGAGTGTCTACTTTATCTAGATCTAGAATCTAGTAGTCTAGGTCTAGTTTAGGCTTAGTTAGGCCCGAGCAAATGTAAATTTAAAGGTAATTTGTAATATTCTAATCAATAGGCCTAACTGCAATTTTGAATTTATTATTTTTTGGTAATCTATCGTTTTGGGTACGTAAAATCGCCCGCGACTTGTAATGTGAAAAGCAGGTGACTCCTTAGATTTTAATAATTATTTCACATTTTGAGGAGGATTTATGTTTTTTTAAAATACTAAAATGACTAAAATGTTTCATTTATGTAGGCCTACCTGGTTTTAAACAATTGAATTAAAACTTTTTACTAATAAATGAAGACTGGCGATGTTTCCACCAGATGCAACCATACTCATTTACTATAGTTATAGCAGCCATCTTGTTTTATTTTTATAAACTTATAGCGCGAGATTCAGGGGGAAGCCACTCTATTTTACAAATGGCTGCTGTTTATATAGCAAATCTTGCTCGCTGACACTGCTGTTTAAAGTTAACTTCTGGCCTATATTGATATATTTAGCCATTGACTTAGGTTTATTATTCATTTATCTATAATATTTGACACAAACATATCACAATACACTTCTATTAAAGCCTTGACGATGAGGTAACGTTTTCGTACATTAATAGCCGCGGGCGATTTTACTTACCCAAAACAATAGATTACCTATTTTTTTTACTAAACAGATAGAATGATAGATGATAGAATTATTAGAATGATGGTAGATCTTAACTGAACTGGATTCTGGATCAATGGACACCAGCGAGTTAACCAGATTCCTTCCATAATGTTGTTGACATGGAATAAAAACATGCTTTTTATATTTAGACCATAAAAAAATAAAAACTTAGGCCTAAGCCTAAATATAATTTAGAAATTTTATATTTTTAGAATAAATGCTAGGCCTATAAAAGTTGCAAAGCCAGAGAACTTGAAAATAATTTCTATTTATTTTCATCAAGCCTAAGTTATAACAGAATGTTTCACTTTCGTAAGACAAATATTGATTGGCTGTACAGTAACTTAGTGATCGATAACTATTTGTTTACAAAACTTTGAAGATCAAGTTTTTAAATAACAATGCAAATTTAAACCCCATGACCTAGTTTTTCTATTTTAAGCTTACAATGTGTACGATAAAATTTATGGCGGCCTATCGAATAGCAGGATGCCATTGTTTATGTCGCCATTACACGTGAAAACCAAATTGTTTTTGCTATTTTTAAATTTTTATTTAGTTACCGAAAATATTAAAAACATCAGATACATCCAATCTTTAGTAAAGTCCGAAAAAAAACAGACAGGCAGGATTTTATAATCATATTAATTGTAACTACGCCGTGCATGATTTTTAAATTAATTTATGGACCTCTCAAATACCTTTGAGACTTTTCTTGCTGGCGTCCATTGATTCAATCAATCAATGGAGTTTAATAAACTTTAGGCCTAATCACTTTAATCAGTTTAATTAAAAAGTGTGAGTGTGTCTCACTTGTTTCAGTTGTTGCCTTTTGTTGGTGAGCGGTTAGTGAAGTTTTTGTGTACGTACAAACATTTTGTACTTAGCTTAAGTTTAAGGCTAGGGCTTAGGCTTACTGTCGGCTTAGTACTTGTAGATCTAGATCTAGATTTCTAGTAAGTTTAGTTTACTAAGTTTACTGTTGACATTTGTGTTATTAAAAAATTACTTATTTCATGTTCACTTCCCTCAATTTAGAGTTTTAAGTTACACTATAGACACTACTTAGCCTACATACTATACTAATTTTACTATGAAGTGCGTCTTAATAAAATTAGTATTAGTCCTACACCAAGACAAACAATATTATTACCTTTTTTGCAGCTTTTGGACCCATTTTGGTTTAGTTCAATTTTGAGTTTTTCTCCACGGTTAGACAAAATTATGTCACACACCTGTGGTGTTTGGAAATTTAGTGATGCTCTCAGTTTTCCAACATAGTGAATGGGTTCAAGTAGTATTACTTCTGAGTAGTATTACTTCTGGTACAGTCTCAGAGTGTTATTTTAAAACTACGTAAAACTGGTTGCTTTTTTGGGGGGGGAATGTTCAATGTTGGCATTTTTTGAGGGATTTTGTGACAAAGGATATTAAAAAAATAATTATACCAATCAAGATTTCTCTTGCTAATTTAGTAATATAAATAAGTGATTTAAAATTTTGTGTAAAATATTCTTATCTTTTAATAAAGATGGGTTTGATATTTTTGGCTTTAAAGTTGTTTGTATTAAAATATAAAATATTGATTTCAGGTAGTTTTTCATCCATGAAAAAACATGCCCAGAGAAATCAAAACTCCGCTGCGATATGTAACGGATATAACTTCACCACCTGTAGTACGAACAGGTAAAAGAGGTCGGCCGCGGACTGTAAATGTTGAACCTAAAGCAACCCCACCACCAAAGAAACCCACTGCAGATCCTCCTGTTGTGATTGTTGATGATGATGATGATGTTGAAATTCTTGAAACACAAAAACCCGGTAAACGGAAAAAAAGTGACGACGATCCTGACTGGGGATCTGGAAAAAGGGTTTGTACTTAATGTATAAAACATGTTAAAGTAGTTGTAATTAATATAATGCACAATGTCCTGTTGCATTTACTTTCCTTAACATAGGTTAGGTACCCATAAAAAATGGGTGGAATCAGGGTATTCTTTGTACTCTATGCCTGGTTCTGAACTCAAGACTTTCGGGCCAGCAGTTGTAGACTCTGCAATCCATCCTTAAGCTCTAGCACTGGCCTTAAGCCATGACTTGAGCTAAATTTTATCACAGAAAAACATAACGTTAACATCAGTTATTGTTGCTATTATTATTACATTATGATATGATAATAGAATTTAAATGTGTATCTTGTCTTTTTTATTTTGCTTACTTAGGCTGGACCAGGCAGACCCAAAAGCAAACCAAAACCAGTCACTCCTACTGCTCCAGGCAAACAGGAAACACCAAAAACACCAGTTATTTCATCTTTGAAAAAAAATCCCTCTACACCAGTTGTTTCATCTACCAAAAAAACTCCTGTTGCATCTACACCAGTCATTTCAACTACAAAAAGAACTCCTGTTGCATCTACACCAGTCATTTCAACTACAAAAAGAACTCCTGTTGCATCTACACCAGTCATTTCAACTACAAAAAGAACTCCTGTTGCATCCACTCCAGTTGTAGCATCTACAAAAAAAACTCCCTCTGTATCTGAGGCTACTATTGTTGAATTGTTTATGGAATGTCGAGATGAGCCTCTTAGTGCCATTCAGGTAAAAAGTAAACTTTTTTTTTCTGTTTAAATGTTAAATGTAAGTACAAGTTAAGAATTTACTAATATAATAAAATCACAACAACCGTTGTGTCATGCATAAGTTGTCATATGTATTGTAGGTTAAGACAGCCAAGAGAGAACAAGCTCTTTATGAACAGTCCCTAAATCTTGTTAAGGCAGCCAGAGAAGGTCGTCTTGTTTTCCTGCCAGATGGGGCCACCAAAATACTTGGTCTGTGTGATATTTTAATTCTTAATCAAAAATAAGTGTAGATCTCTAATTATTGAGTTATTGTAACATTGTTCAATTTAGATAAATGTATCAGATTCAAATACTAATGTTTTTAAAATATTGTATGTAAAATATAGTATCAGTTTAATAATTGGAAACTTGACAAAAATCAAAATTTTAAAACTGTGTTTAAAATAGTATCCTGTTTATACATGATTTGTTGATGGGGATATATAGATGGGTTCATCTGTTACTGTATCCATTCCATTAAATTAAAGCCTGAAGTGGCCTGAAATCTCCAACTTAAACCTTGTTTAAGGTTTAATTTGTTGGAAAAATCCAATAATTTTAAAAACAAATGTCTTCATTTTATTGCCAATGACTAATAAAATAAGTTCTAGGTTGATCTTATTTAAAACTTGAAATTTTATTTTGTAGACAAGCCTTTCTCGATGGTTCACACCCCCCAAACTCCAGCACCAATCGCTGTACCCTCACACGCTCATTTACCTCCTCAAATACATAGTCAAATCAGGTATGTCATCAAAACATGAGTTTCTGGCAAATTCTTATAAACACTGCATGCTGCTTTATCAGTTTTATGTGCTTGTTTGCTAAATCTCAGGCAGAACTGACAGACATCGACACTCTAAACCTAATCCTTAGTCTAACTATATATCTTTTCTGTCTTAGGCTGACTAGGAAGTGAACACATTTTCCATGTTAGATAGCATTTTGTTTTAATAACTCATTGTTAATAGCTTGCTTGTAAGTAAAATTAGTTTTTAGTATGCTAACAGCAGTTCTAAAATTCAATTCATTAACTATCACAGCAGTGCCAACCGTCCTGTATCGCCTGATGTTATAATTCTAGATGAACAACCACCACCCCGAATTCAGGACTCAGTAAGCTTACAAACTATCACTTATGACCTTTTAGAGAGACAGATAATGCACATTTTGTTAGTTTGCTTATTGTGCACTTTTTAGAAAGGCAAATAGAACACATTTTTAAAGTTAAAAGAAATAAACTGGCTGATTTAAAATTTATAATGTGATTACTGACTTAAAAATGTTTTTTTAAAATTTCAGCCTCATACTGGAAAGACTGCTCCACTTGCAGGTAAAGTATTAGAAATAATTTTTTTTATATCTGATCAGCATTATGTATTTTATGCTAATTAATATAGTCTGCATTAATGTTATTACTTTAACTTTTTAAAGAATATAATTGTTAGTAGTGTTTAACTTTGTTTTTATTAGGCCTTTTAGTAATGAAAAAAAATATTTACAGATTGGCAGAACTCAACACTGCAACAAAAGCTGTCTCAGCCTGTGAATACATTACGCAAAAGTACTCAGATTGTACCAAAGACAATGACCTCAGTCCATGCTAAAGCTCAGTCAGATGCCTTAGCTTATTTGAGGTAAATTATAGTGATAATTTATTGTTGTTAATCAGACTAACATTTTTTTTAACAATACTTTATTTTATTTGTGGTATATTGTAATGCCATTGTATTTTTGTGAACCGGACTAACTCTCTTTTTGAAAAATACTTAATTTTTTTTGGGGTATTATAGCGCCAAAGTATATTTATTTCGACTAAAATCTGTTTAAAAAAATATTTAAATTTAAGTGAACACAATATTATAAATTATATTTAGTCCACTTGAGTGTCATAATATTTTTGTATATTGGACTAATAGTTTGATTTAAATAATTATACTGAATGCAATCTTGAAAAATCTTTTTTTTTTGTTAGACAAAATCTAAAATTTTTTATCATTGATGATAGCTCCTTCACCTGCCATGTTTTTAATAAATTGATTGTCAAACCAACTTGTTATTGTACAGTACATATGTAATAATACAAAGAGCAGTTAGTATACACTTAGTAATAAAAAGTATTGAGTTATTATTTTCTGGCCTTTAAAGTGATTTTTCATCTGTTCATTTTTAACTTCAGGCAACAGATGCAGCAACAGGCTTTAGCTAGAGCTGAATCAGAGCCACTAAAAAAGAAGGCAAGAAAGCAAGCACAGCTAGAAGATGAAAGTGGTATGTTTCTTTTATTTTTTATTTTATTTTCCTTTCCACTTTCCTGCCCCATTTGTGCCCAAGTAGAGTTCATCTGCTCCAGAAACCTTCGCATATGAAGGGATAGTTTGGTCAGCAGTATGCCCAGCCGCCTTTGTTTCCCTAATGTGAGTTAGTTACCCATCAGAGCTGGGTGGACTCAGGGACGTTCCACTTATTTGATCCCGGATTTGAACTCGAGACTGTTGGGTTAGCAGTCTAGCTCTCTACCGTTAGGCCACGCTGTCCCCTAATGTTTATGATACCAATGTTTATCCTTTTAATATTGTAATTGTTACTATGTTAATATGCTTATTAAACACAAACATATTATCATACTTATCCTTAATGTTTATTATCAGAACTGAAAACTTTTTTTATAGATTATTTTTTGATTTAATTGGTTCAACAGGAAATTGGGTGCCACTGGATGAATATTATTATGGAAAGATGGAAGGTGATCCAACTTATCATGAGCAGAAAGGAGAACTTAGATTTAAAGTAGGTTTTTTTTTATTATTCTAAAAAAATACTCAAAATTTGCATATTAATTCAAATTTAAACCAAGACCGTCACTTTATAAGTAAAAATTAATTTTGTTTGTATCTTTCAGTGTTGGTATTGTAATAAAATGCTGTACAACAATGTGGCTGCCATGATGCATATACAAGGGCACATTGACTCTGAGAGACAGGTCAACCTTGACCTCAGTGACCTTACACAGTGTAAACACTGCTACAAACAGTTTGACACACCTTTTGAAATGCAGACCCACATAGAGAAGGTAAGCAAAAGTAATTAAACTATGATTATAAATATAATTTAGTGTTTATTTAATAAGTTAAAATAGATTGTGCTGGTCTTAAAATATCCTCATTTGGCTGCTTTAAAATTAAACATTTTTTGTTATACCAGGTTCATATGAATAACACCAATGTCCTGCTTTGCCGTATTTGTGAGAAAGACCATGACAACCGCCATGGTTTGACTGACCACATGAGGCGGCACCACAACGCCTGTGAGATGCCCTACATCTGTCAGCTGTGCAAGTTCAGATCCTCAATGTACAGTGATGTGGTTGATCACTTTAAAAAGGTACGTCATTATTTTAAATCAAACGGCAAATTTTTTTCTACAATAAAGCTAAATTATATGGATACTGTATCGTTAAAGTATTTTTTTTTAACAAATAAGATTGTATATAGTACCAAGGCTATAATTATTAGCCTTTAATTATTAGCTCAATAATTTAATATAATTTTTGGTACGCTTTGATAACCAAAGTTATTATCAATTACTTATCATTACATTTTTTTTTCAACAGAAACATAACAGCTCTGAGTCTCTGTTGTGCTTGTACTGTCTGCGGGTGTTCCGTGTACGATTTGTTAGTCAAGGCTGGGGTCAGACAACCATTTATTATAATCATCTCATGAAACATCAGGTGATTCACTGGGCCTTTTATTTGAATTGAGCAGCAAAGCCTGTATTTTCTAATTCTTTGGCTGCTTCATTTTACTTACTTGAGTTACAAACAGTCGTATATAGCCAATTATTTTAATAAGTATTAGCCAATTATTTTAAAGGGTATACTTTATGTCAAATATTTAAAAATTAATGAAATTATAATCAATGTTTTGAAATAAATCTAATTTTTTTAAAATGTTGATTGAAAGATAACTGTACAGAATCATTAAGCGTCCAGAAAAACTGAATAATACTGTTGAGTAGGTTGAATAATTTGTTTTTAATAAAATCACTGCCACAAAGAAGTTCAAAGTAAAAGTTTTTAGAGCCAATCAAGAATTTTAACATGTAAAGAATTTAAGCAATTTGAATCAATTTAGGAACTAATGGCTGACTTGTCATGGTTAATTTCAGATAAAAAATAGCATCAAGAAGTGTCAACTTTGCAAGCTTATTTTTGTGAATTCTGGTGATCTCAAAGTACATCGCAAGACTGATCATATGCCCAACCAGAAAGGTGTAATTGGTAAGAGCTTGAGTGTTTTTTTTTAATTATTTTACATTTTTTAAATGCTTGGGGCATTAACCATTCTACTGCCTCATGCAATCCCTCTGCTTTATAGTTTTATAATTTTTACCCTTGGCACAATTTTAAAAAAATGCCCTTGACTTGTTTATTGTTTTACTTCTAAAGTACCAAGATATAGTTGCCTGAATTTAACCAATGGCAAAGTTGTAAATAATCATCCCTGATGTATTACCTCTTTCTCTTACTCAGGAATTAACGCAAAATACACGACGCCTCACCAAGTGATGATTAAAGTAACAGAAAAGTCGGTCAACGACAGATTGACATGTGGCATCAAGTCACTGAATGTTCCAGCCGTGAAGAAGATCCTGGACCATAAGCTCAGCTTCCCTCAAAATGTCTACAAGGTGAAATGTATAGAATGCAAGATGCTTATGGGAATACCAGACCACTACAAGTAAGATATTGTTATCTGCTTCCTTATCTAAAATGGAATCACCAGTTTTTAACTATTATCTCATTATTATTGTACCATCTATATTTACCAGTTTTAACCTATCTTCCAAAATTTATCATATTATCTATATTTACCAGTTTGCCTAAAGAAAATTGTATCAATAACCATCCACTGTACTTGCCTAACATTCTAGAGTTATTAAAACAAAGTATGGCTTCTAAATCTTATTAAACTTTAAAGAACTCATTTAACCTTAAAATGATATTTATTAGAATTTACTACGAATAAAAAAATAAAATAAAACTATTTTTTCTTACACAAATCACAAAAACAACCAAGAAATAATTGTTTACCTTAATTTCAGGAAATTTATCCAGTGCTCAATGTGTAGATTTGCTACAAGCTGCTCATTTGCATATGCAAATCATATGATGGGATTTCACTCAGGACAGTTAACAGCAGCAGCCTCTCACACGCCAACTGAAGGAAAGCTAGACGAACCTCTATATTGTTTGTGTGGCTTTGTCAGTAGTTATGGCAATAGAATAGGTATGACACAAAAATAACCATATTTTTTTTTTACGGCTTGCTTTGTAACACACTCTGGCTACAATATTATGTATTGTTTCTTTCCTCTCTGAAAGAATTGTTTTATTTTTTTCTTAAAAATACACTGATATTGCAGCTAGGTTTTGGAAGTTTGGGTATTTGGGTAAATGCAAGAAAGTAGGGCCTGGGAGTAATATTATCAAGTACTCTTAATTTATATATGGCTTTTTTTTCTATAACTTATTGTAAAAGAGCCTTTTGCACATAAAATCCTTTTGCACATAAAATCCTTTTGCACATAAAATCCTTTTGGTGTGTGCAAAGATAAATACTTAAAATCTTTTATGATGCGTGTAAAGATAAATATTTATTTAGTGGAATTAAATCACCTAAGTCAAACAATCAGGTGAAACTGTGCCTACATATCTACTGCACATTATAGCATTTCTTTTTAATAAAGTTTTGTTTTAGAGTAATAAGCAGTTCATTGTAATGATGTCAATATAATCTTTCAGCAAATCATCTAGTCGCATGTTCCAAAAGCTCTTGTAGTAAAGATCAACCCCCACCTTCAGCAGCTGAGGAATTTGGTAATAATTTTTTCGATGTTGTGTTACCTTATTATATCATGTCCCAATTGTATTTTACACTAGTTTAGTTTATGTTGTGTTACTTTATTGTATCATGTACCATTGATATCGTACTTTAGATTAGTTAATGTACTTCACTGTAAAACTCATTGGTTGGTTTTCATATACTTGTATTTAATAGGGCAAGAGTTACAGGACCCTAGAAAAAAACCAGATGCATCATTGCTTGATGTCTTGGGTCTAATAAAAAAGGATTCTCTCCCTTCAAGTCAGTTCTATCACCATCTGGTTTATACTTTACCTCTGCATTTTTTTTACATTATAAAAATTGAGATACAGAAATTTAGAAGTTGTTTAAATTTCTGTATTGGGTTATGGTAAAAAAAAAAATTAACATTTAGTGCTTATAATTGTTATGTCTTTAGTGGAGCTTATCTTTATTTGCGCACATATCTTTTTGTTGTTCACTAAAAGATGGTGCTCTTTTTTGAAAAAAGATATTAGTCTTTATAATACGTGTCATCTAAATATAAATATACAAAACATATTTTAAGAAAATTTTGTTCCTCTAACTACCTTTTTATTTTTAACTTTACTTTGTTTTGTTTTTTTAAAATAACATTGGAAATAGTATTCAAAAAGGAATAATTTATTTTAATTATTATTTTTCCTATTATAAAGTTATTTATTTGCACTCTAGTTTATCTTTCATATTGAAAGCTAAATTAAAGTGCTTCAGCTATTCATTACTAGTAAGGATTTTTAAAACTCATAATAATTAAAAGGATTCCAACTTCTTTTAAACTTAGGGCAGCGCTATGATTCACCACCACCCGAGCCAGTTGACATGCCTGACGTGGCAGGGTTAGAATATCTACCAAAAAGACCATCATTACTGAAAGATGCCAAAAAGAAAACGTTCAAAAATATTTTAAAGGTAGAGTTTTCATGTGTGATTTTATTGGTATTAGAGGCTTATTTTTTGCTAATATTAACACTATCCCATACCCTACCCTAACTATAGCTTTACTGTTACCATAATCCTGAACCTGATAGTCATACACCGAGGACAGAACTACAAAATAGCGTAGTTTTGTATACAATTTTGCTACTTGTCCTTTTTTTATTGATTTATCATATAGTGTTTTGCTTATCTTAAATAAATTTACATTATTTTCCAGGAAGGAAATAATTTTGAAGAACAAGACAAAGCTGAATCTTCCTTTGAAGATAAAAAAGATGTATCAGTAGACAGCAGTATAGGGCAGGACTCTACTAGAGACGATAACTTTAATGAAGACTCTTTCCAGGGAGATAACTCTAATACCAGTATTTTAAGAAGCAGTTCACCGAAGGATGAAAAGACTAAAGATGAAAAAGATAGTGACTTGGTTAAACCTGATTGTACTATAGACAGTGATAATGTGCCGAGTAGGTTTAAAGACACTAGAGATGAATCTGAGCCAGATAAATTAAATTCAGAATCTTCACTTGATCAAGTTATACCACAAGATAGAATTGAAGATATAGATGACCAGTCTAGTAGTAGTTTTGTAGATAATGTTAAAACTTCTGATGATGTAGAAGAAAAGCCATTTACCTTGTCTATACCACCGTTGTCTGAGGTGGATGAAACCACTTCGACAAAGCCAGTAGAAAATGAACTTAATGTTTTGAAACCAAGGGAAACTACTCAAATCTTGGAAGTAACTCAGAAACATGATTTAGTTGAAAATAAAGCAGAGGGCATTGAGAAAAACAGGGGTGACTGTGATCTAGTCAGCTCACAAGAGGTGGTGCAGGTACAAGGTATTGCATTGGATGGGAGTGGAGATTCTAATTGGTGTGTTCAGCCAGGGAAGCAGGTAGACTCAGAACCTATGGACACGGCTGATGCTGTATTGGAGGCAAACACTGAGGATACACCCATCAGTAAAAACCAACCTGGACCAAGTGAAGTAGACAGCAGACAGTTTGACACAAGGGAAGATTTAGAGGACAGTGTCCAAGATGATCTGCCCCCTGTCCTGGAGGAAAACTCTACATACAATGTTGACACGGAGGACTTTGACTCGGAGGTGCCCGTACTTTCTCTGGAAGAAAACGTCAGCATTGGAAATTTAGACACACAGAGTTTTAAAGAAGCTGAGGACCTAGATTTGGAAGAAAATGAAAACCCAGCAAACCTTAATGCAGAGAGTGTCAATGATACTGATGAACCTGTAGTAGAAGAAAACATAAATAACACAAACTTTGCTAGTGTGAATGAAAACAATGAACAGACTTTGGAAAGCATGAATCAAAGCTTAGCTGATACTTCTGATAACTCCTCTGATAAGGAAGACGAACCTGAAAAGGACAATAATGGAGAAAAAGTGTGGGGAAAAGCTACCGGTGGCTTTGCAAACATTCCAATATCTCCTAAGGAAACAGATTTAGTCAAGGATGAGTTTGATGATGTCGCTGCGGGTAAACAAGAAAATGTTGTCCTAGGCCTCAGGAGTAGCAGCTGTGCTGCTCTCCCATTGGTCGGCGAGTACGACACTGACGACACACAGGTTGAGCTGGAGAAGGAGAAGCTGAGCCCGGAGGACAACACTAAGGACAGCAGCTCAGAGTCTAAAACCTCTGTGGACTTTTACGAGAGTGAGTCTTCTAGTTTTAAAACCTTGTTTGAAGCTGATCAAACGCAGGACAAGGACTTGGAGCTGGAGAAGGACATTCTACCGCTGGCAGCTACCAGTGAAGAGCTGGAATCTGTTCCCAGCGCCGGGGACGACTACCTCTCCTCCGACTCCAACCAAAAGCAAGACGTCGACCAGTCCGGCTTCTCAAACATCTTTGAGTCTTCACAGTCTCAGCAGATCACTGCCCCTGTGTCCCCATCAGCCTTCAACAACACCAACAACATTGACATGACCGTACCCATGACTGATTCCATTGGGGAGGGCAGCAGTGATGCTAGAGATTGGACTATCAACTACACATCTACCCAGGACACTCTGCCTGCCTCCAGCATCACTGAATCTGTTGAGGGTGAAAATCTTTTCTCCAGGCAGAGCTTTCTCTCTCAAGGTATTCCGGAAATGCCTGTAGTGGATTATCAAACCGAGGAAGCCGTTGTTGAAGAAACTCCACCTACTCATGATATGGAACTCAGCAGTCAGACATCTGAGTTACCTGTTACACCCGAGCTCACTGCTAGTCAGACAGAGCTTCAAGGTGTGCCGGCCACGTCGTCCAGTTCTAGAGAATCTAATGTCCAGGATAAAGACAGATCTGCTTCTTCAGGTGATCGGGACCGGAGGTCAAGGTCACGTGACCGCCACAGAGACCAGAGGTCCCGCTCTAGAGACAGGCACAGGGAGCGTGACAGACACAGGGACGATAGAGATCGTCAGCGTGATAGATATGACAGGTGGGTTGAGCTTAACATAACACTTGCTTGACTTAGTGATAGTGTAAAACCTGTTATAATAGTCAGGTTACATCATGTCAGCTAATTACTTTACTAAAATAAATCTTAATAACCTTATTGTTGGTATTTGTGGTTATCTTAAGCTAATCTTAAGATATGACAGGTGGGTTGAGCTTAACATAACACTTGCTTGACTTGGTGATAGTGTAAAGTAAATTATAGAAAACCTGTATGTATAAGTCAGGTTACATCATGTCAGCCTAATTACTTTACTAAAATAAATCTTAATAATCTTATTGTTGGTATTTGTGGTTATCTGTGGTTGTACCGCCTTAAGTTGTTAAGGTAAAAGTTCTATATCATTCCAACATGGTTAAATGTGTGTCTTAATATAACCCAGAGGCTAATCATGACTTACTAGGACAGATCAGTTTTGCCTGCTAACATGAAAAAACCTCACTTTGCATTACCAGAGCTAACATGAAAAGCCTCAGTTTGCATTACATTACATCCCTAGCTTTTTTGTTTACTTGCTGCTTAAAATAGGATATTTCAGTCAGTGGCATCTTACATGATTTTTTTCCATTAATACCCAACAGCTATTACATTAAAATAACTTTTTTTAATAGGGAACGAGACAGAGATCGCTATAGGGACAGAAGTCGTGAAAGAGATAGAAGCCGTGAGAGAGACCGATACAGAGATAGGAGTCGAGACAGAGATCGAGGGCGTGATCGAAGCAGAGACAGGGATCGTAGTAGAGACAGAGTGAGAAGCAGGGATAGAGACCAAGGCAGGAGCAGAGATAGAGACAGAAGAAGTAGAGACAGAAGCCGAGATAGAGATTACAAAAGATACAGAGATGATAGGAGATACAGATAAAACCAAGATTGAAAAAAAATATAATGAAGATATGATCAAAATATTTTTAGAACATGTTAGGATATACAGATAAAAAATGGCATGGAGATAAAAAAAAAATTACTGTTTTGTATATAGATTTACTGTGTATTGCATGTACATTTTTATTTCTTCAGTGATAACATGAACATCAAGTGATACCATACAGTAAAACTCTATTTACATAAATTTTTATGATGTGTGAACAATGACACATTTCAACCTTTCAAATTTCTGAGAAATGGCTTTTCTGGTTGAAAGGAAGCATTTTTTGTTTGCTTTTTTTTTAAATAATAAAATTGGTTTTTGTCCCCCCTTAACAAAGGAAATAAAATTTGCAATCTGCAACTTTTTTAGTTTGCAACATAAACAAAAATTGTAATTCATTAGTGGAATTTACAGCCCAGTCTTTTAATATTTAATGATAAATCATCTTTAAATTTTAAAATATTTTCCCAATTTATGTACATGAGAATTTTTTAAATTTCTCAAAACATGTACCCATAACTTTGGTCAGTATTAATGGACAGTCTATGCAGGTGAGTTGCTGTAAAAAATTATAAACAGTCATGATAATTAGCATACATTAACAAAATTACATTGAAAAAATGTTTTAAGCTGGTGCTTTTATTATAGATGATGCTGTTGTAGCCGTCTTGTGGCAAAATAAACAAATTTCTAAGCCTCAATTAAAGGTAAATGTTTGATCGTTAAATTGTTTTTATTGCCACTAAGATTACACTATCTGAACAATTTTTGCAGAGACCTGTGGAGTGATGCTGCAGTAATCTGTAGTATTGTAATACACAGGGGGTTAGGTCTAATTTGTTAGCAAATTATATTAGTTTGTAGTTAACTAAATAATAACGCCACTTTTTAAAGATTTTATTATTGGTATGGAAACATAAAGAATGCCGATTTTATACAATCATTTATATGTGTGTATACATACATATATATAATGTATATATATATAATGTCTTAAGTGTTAACAACACACATCACTCCCCAATTAAATGAATGTTGTAAAAAGTTGTAGTGATTCACATTGTAGTAATGCACTTTCTGCCAATGTGTACAAGGTGTCAGCGTGTGTCTGTTATTATCATCACCCTTTCTGAAATCAAACCACTCATTTTCAAGACACATAAATTTGTGCATATTCACTCATTTTTTTGTAACATGTTGTTATGAATACATATTTTTGTTAAGAAAAAAACTGATGTTCCTAGTTATGCTCTATCGTAGCTTCAAATAAATCATACCTACATTGGTGCGTTTTTTTTTTCAACTTTTCTAAAACTTGAATAGAATTCGTTTAATTTTTGGAAAATTATTTTTAAAAAATTATTTTTGAAATTATCATAATTGTTCATTCCCTTTTGTTTTATTATGCATATTTTTTTGTTTTATGAATATGTATCAGAGCTGTACAGACAATTGGATAATGTTTTAACCTACAATGTTGTGTATCTGGTCTAGGATGTACCATCCTCTGTGTTCACAGTTTCAAATGTCATAATCCTGTTGTCATTATTTTTACACACACGGTTTTTATTTAGTTGATTCATATACAACAGTGGCCTTCACAAGTTTGTGTGTCATGCTGTAAAAGCACATCAAGAAGTTCTCTTGATTTAGTTATTAAAACTATTGAATAGATGTTCATTGAATGATGATACGATAATACATGTTGAAATAAGGAGTGTACAATTAAAGTGATTATTGATGTTACTGCTTTTGTTTGTTTTCCTTAATTTGTGTTTATTGCTGTCATTAACATTTGTGCGCTGCTTTTAATTAAGCTAAATGCAAGCAGATAAGCTAAGCAAAATGTGAAGACATTTTCAAAATAAACAAAAAAATTAAAACTGCTTTTTGATAAATATATGATACATTTATTTTTATCCAACTAAATACTGAAGTCAAAAGTCAATACTTGTACAGCTGTATAAATTCATAGAATATCAAAAATAGCTTTATAAATATTGCCAATATTACTTTTAGCTAAAAACTTTGGTTTATTTTATAGCTATGTTTTGTTCATGAATAATAATAAAAGTAAAATATTTCTTTATTATTAATACAATTTAATGAGGTTAATTTTAACATAAGACAAAAGGGAGATAACAAACTATTGATTTCAGAAAAACATTTATTATAATCACCTCCCTTACATCGTCTCATAGCGACAGTTGTTAAGAAATAGCAAGATGGCGACTTTCTATTTTCATTTTCACGAGTAAGATGATACTTTTTATAATTGGTGCTTCTGAAACTTTACGAGGGTAATCAAACGTGACTTAGATCTAGACATATATCCTTCAACAATGAGTAGTAAATTGGCTGTTAAGCCTAAAGGAAAGGATTCACGTCCCAAATCTTCAGGTAAGTATTTAGTATTTAGTAATTAATTAGTATGTATTTATTAATTTATTTTAATAATTTAAATTATTAATAATATTGTTAGGCTATTCAATTTATAATATATTTAATATAATATATATATTAAAATATTAATAATTTGTGCTTTGTAGTTTTTATTTGGCCTAATATAAAAATTTGAAGTCTACAACTTATTATATAATTAAAAACAAAAATGTAGGCCCTAATCAATATTAATATTATTAACCAGAGCCGGCGTTAGGGGGTGGCGAACGGGGCGGTCGCCATAGGCCCCGCGCTTGAAGGGGCCCCGCGCTTCAGCAATGTCATTGTTTTCTGAATTAGTTCGTAAACTTAAAAAAAAATTGTTGCTGAATTCAATTGGGAAAAACTAAATGGTGGAATGCTGACGTTGTTGATTATTATAACTGAGGCCACGGTTGATGTTGGTGAGTCCCACCTGAACTGGGACAGGCCGTAATTCGATACAAAAATAGTGTCACGCCTACTCTTTGTGTAGGGTACGGTCGCCTGGCATTTGACCTGAGCTGACTGGAGATGGCGGTCGAGAATTAGCCCACGACATAAAGTGATACCCTATTGTATGTGGACCGATGAAGACGTCCTTTTAGTGAGCAGACGGGATGTCTATAGTAGACAGTTAGTGACCTGATGAACTCTAGTCCTGACTTTCTTGTTGTAGATGTCGTATAATGTCGTATATGTACAGTGTTTCTTCCAGACTTTTTTCTCCAAGGGGGGAGGGGGGGGGGCACTTGAAATTTTCGGGGAGGGGGGCGGTAGATTTTCTTCGGGGGGGGGGGGGGGGCGGACACTGTTAAAAGTATATATTTTCTCTATAAATTATATAAATTTCATTTCGTTTTCGGGGGGGGGGGGGGGGGGGGGCTACTCTATATGTAGGCCTACTTGTCTTAGTATAACAAAATTAACATTCAGCTGCGTGCAGAGGGGTGGGAGGAGGGCGACGAGGAGGGGGGGGGGGCTTAGGATCTATATCAGGCGGCATTAAACAGAGTGATTTATTATTATTTTTTGGAAGAAAGTTAAAACTGTTGTTATGTTGTGTCACCTTAAGGATTCACCCCTTCAATAATTAAGACAATAATGATTTTGGTTTTAAAATATTGTATGAATTCTAAACAAATTTTGAAGTCTATACTGTTTTGATACATCAGGCCGAGTTCGCTGTATTGTAAACTTTATTTTCCTAATTATGCGGCACGTGATTAAATTTTCTTAAGTGATTTGGTATGAATTACATAACTGTTAAAAGTGATTTAATATCTTAGTAAAGGAAAAAAAAAACTACGAACATTGGGTTAATACATGGAAGAGATAAAAATATGTTATTATAGTGGAAAGTTTGACATTAGCTTATAAACTCCAAAACATTGTACATCACATTATATAGGCCTTTATGTATGTATATATATATATATATATATATATATATATATATATATATATATATATATATATATATATACATATATATAATGGAAAGGCCCCGCGTGGATGGTTGGCCCTAGGCCCCACGTATTCCTAACGCCGGCACTGATATTAACTATTAACACAAGAATCAATTAGTATTTAATAATAATGTAAAAATATTTTTAAATAAGATAATAATTTTAAAATTATTAATTTAATTTAAAAACATGAAAATCAATTTGAATAATTTAATTAGGCCCATTGGTTGATTAAAGTTAAAAATTAAATTAAATCTCTAAATTTTAAAATACATTTTTAGTCTAATAATAAATAAGAATAATTTTTTTATTTAGCTAATAAACAGAAAAAATTATAAAATAGCAAAAATTTGTATTTATTTAAAAAATTAGGGCGGTGTAGCGAGTGTGGTCCTCAGAATGTCAGAAAGTGTGACAGCACACTTTTGCATCTTTGAAAATAATTTTAAACTAAATTTTTGCAGTTAATTTGTTTTTTAATTAGACTTTTTGTAAAATGTATTAAAAATTAATCAACATTCCAAAAAATATTTTAGCAAAACATGGCTTTACAAAATTGCAAAAATTGTAATTTAAAAGGAGAGGGGTCGTAAGACTGATGTGTTAAGTTATTTTGGGTGGCGAGTGTGGATCTAACATTTTGTATATTTGAACTGGAGGGTATGTAAAAATCATCCCAAAAAGGCATGTCATCATTTATCGGTGATCCCTAAACAGCAATTTTTGCTTAATCCTAACCTGTATAGTGACATTAGATAAAATAAATGCTCCTGGACCAAGAAATAGCACTTTTCTCATGTCAAGTTAAAGCAATATGGCATTATCATGCTAGTGTCACTTTCACTGCTCTTAGTTGCAAAATTGTGAATATTATAAAACCGCAATTGTTCTTCAATAAGTTATGGAGTAATGTATGTATGTGTATGCAAATGCCCACTAGGCCATGTTAAAATACCCGTAACCTCAAACTGCCTCAACATAGATGGTTACATTAAGTTTATTTTACAACATTGAAAAATTCCACTTTGGGAAACTAGTTTTTACTTTCTTGTATACTAAGTATAGCTGAAGTTTTACACCTCGACGTTTTACACCTCCCTGAGTCTGAAAGACACTGTTTTGCAATTTTGTCCGTATGTCTGTGTGTGTATGTATGTATGTGTGTATGTATGTCTGTGAACATGATAACTTGAATACCCTTATAGCTAGGTTGATCAAATTTCATATATAATAAAAAATTATATAAGGATAATAAAATATCAAATTTGTAGTTCTGTATCAACTTTTCAGTGATTTCCGGTACCCGTATGTGGAGCTTGAGTACTGTTTCAGATAGATAAACGAAATTTCACATATAAGTAAAAGATTTAATTCTCTGCCTACTGTCAAATTTTGAGTAATTTACGCTGACCAGAAGTGGTACTTTACGCTATTTCTGATTACTCAAAAAACACATGAATTTATAAAGTACTAATAATCTGCACTATTATGCACATATTGTTTGCTGTTCATTTGATGAACAATTTTTTTTACAAGATTCTATTCTATTTTAAAATGTTTAAGTATATAAAAACTGATTAAGAGCGTGTCTATATCCCAAATTACCATCCTGTAGTGTTATATAAGAATATGCCAGAATTTTTAGGGGAGATCACGCTTTATTTAATTTGACAATAAATTCAATAATTCAATGTTGTTTTTTCAAATTATTCATGGTACAACTTTTACTTTGATTTGCCAGATGTAAGCCTAGATTGAAAAGAAATACATGTGTGTAACGTCCCCTATCTATCAGCCAAATAGACGGTGAACGTCCCCGGATTCTTTTTTCGGGATCATATGCAAATGCCTTACGGCCTAAGTGGATGAACACTAACACAACGGCACACTAGGGCTCGAATTCTATGTCTAGGGTAAACTAGTGATACTATTGTAATTAACACTCATCCAATCTACATACAACTTTAATCAGCGAACACAGTTGTGGCAAAACACAAGGTTGAACTAGTTAAAATATTTAATGTATAAAATATCAAAACTCAACTTACAAAATGTAGGAAAAACACTATCACAGATTTCTACACTGTCTAAATAACTACAGGCCACACAACACTGCTATAGCTTCTGGAATAACTCAGCGACGAGTAATATTATACTAGAAGCCTAAATCAACTTAAGAAAGCAAGGCACACACAGGACTTAATTTCTCTCACGTTCAAATGGTCAGAGTCTATAGCCGGACAATATGGACGGCCTGGTCTGATCAAGGTAAAATCGCCCTGTAGACTGCCTCGTGTTGCGAGTGTGCGGGGCAATTAAAGACTTCTGCAACAGGGGAGATTATCCTCAACTCATGTAGCCATTGGTTGGGATAGTCATCTGACCAGAATCATTCAATCAGATCTTAATGGAAAATTTCTATATCTTAGACTCCTTAATAAGTCAGTGGAAATTTTCCGGTTGTTGCACAATCACTCCATATAAGGAATTATACAATGTCAAAATAAAAATAGAACCTGACTCGACCTAAGTAGGTCACATCCCCTCCCTTTTTGGAAGTGACAGATAGGTTCCACAAAAACATACATAAGGAACCAATCTGGCAATGAAATAAAAAAAATGTTTTACAAATGTAGGCAATCAAAATCATAATACCAGATGAAAATATCCCTGAACATAAAAGGGAAGTAACTCCAACTTTTACAATTGGTAAAAGGGAAGTAACCCTTCAAAAAGTAATTATACATCAAAATCCCTCAAAAAAGGGTATTACAATTTTTCCATGAGGATATTAAAAGTGGTAAACCCGCCAGGGTAAGACCTTTATTTCAATGACTAGCTACAATATCAATT